AAACATCGAGGGCCTATCTAAAGTCCTTACTAACCGTCGCCGTACAGCAAGGATTTTCACAGTATTCGTCGGGATACACTTATGCTTATGAGAATTTAGTACAGTCAAGTTATTCGACTATGTATATAATACGACAGAAGTTTTATACTGAGACATTTGATACTCTCCAATTCCCTTCAAAACGCAATAGATTTGGCCTTAGATAATTATAATGGATGATGGGAATGATTTATTCAAAGTTCAGTCGCTTCAATCAATATTAATACAGAAATACAAACATATCACCATTCCTAGAAAATAATTTCACGGATTAATGAACCCAGTACCGCCGGAAAATAGTACATTATGACTGAAGCTCTAAGTAAACAATTAAACGTATTGTACTATCAACAAAAAATAGATCTTTTCCCCAGAGTAAGTGTCCATCAATGAAGTGATGACCAGGTTGCTTATCCCATGAATTGAAATTTAAAAAATTTTCTTCAAAACCGGCTTGAAAACTATTTAGAGTTTCAAATACAATATGAATTCTTTTATGTTGTATGAGATCATGATGATGACAAAACGCTATACAATCATGTAGCCCACCTTCCGACAATCCTTTCTCAACATCGTCAACTAATCGAATGCTAAAGGAATTGGGATTTTCGTCAGTACTAGGACATACTTTCAATAAAAAGCCCAACCTCCCAGAATAATCACAACTCTGACATTTGTGCCCTGGCTGCGGAAACTCAAAAAGATGGTAAGTCTCCTTTGTAAAAAAATCTTTACTACGGTATGACAAGGTTGCATATATTCGACGGCAGCCCTTGCTGGAAGATACAAGTTCTTCACAGTTCATGAGCTCATCTAGGGAACCACATGTGTAGTAACAAGCCAGATCACGAATAAAATCTAGATGAACATGAGAAAACCCACGACGAGCTTTCAACATAACCAGATTCTCTATGATAGACCGATTAAAATTATCTCCACAGTACCCTTCTACTTTGAAAAGTGCCTCAAACAGCATGTACATGTTTTTAAGCTCTGTCATATTACCAAATTTATAAAGTTCTGTCTTGTACATTTCATCATTCTCTATTTTAGCTAAGTTGTCCAAATTATGTTCGGAGAAAATATCCAAAACAAGATCAGACTTTTCTCCAGGACTTTCGTTTTGAGAGCTTTGTTCATCTTTTGCTGCATAACTATCAGAAGAGAGATATGCTTCCTTTGACGTTTTTCTACTCAATTGAATCACCATGTCGACATCTTTTCGTTCAAGCTTGTCCAGATTTCTAAACAGACATCGAATACTTCTTCATAGTAAAGAATTGGGTCAACCTTGTAACATTTAACAAAGTCAATGTTCTCCAACAGATATCTAGTATTTTCATCTAGCCCTCCTATTTCCAATAGTCTTAGATTTTCCTTCAGAACCTTTGCTAGAATAGCTGTATATTTTTCAGTAATTCGGATGAGCCAGTGAAGTTTATCGAGACAAACGCTGTTGAAATCTATCAACACATTCCTGACAAATGCTTCAAGAACATTTTCAGGTAGGTCTACAAACTTCTCCGCGACAAATTCAAGTAGGTCTTCATTTTTAGTGTTTTTCTTGACGAAAAGCTTTCGTTGAAAAGCCATTCCAACGTCCAAACCAAGTCCTCAATACAATCTTCCTGTTCAAGAATTTGGAATGATCGATTAAATTCCTCGTAGAAGAAAATGTTGCACTTGGATATCATCCATTTACTCTTGAAAGCAGCAGCTATCTTATTCATCTCCCTGAAGTTGTCCTTACTGAGCTCAAGTCTACCGAATAAAGTGCACTGAAGAATTCCCGAACATTTTCAGCAGTAAAGTCGTCCATGTCAACAGAAACAAGTCCTAAGTTGAAGAACATATCCTGAAATACTGGACTGTGAAGACCCAGTATCATTGAGTTAACCCTCATAGTCTCACTGTCCTTCAGATTAACCACAATATTACCATGTACAGGACAGTCTAGGTTCTCTATCCCGAAATCTAGAGGCAGCAAATCTGCAGGTAGAGGAACTGTTTGCACCATCCTGTAATAATATTTATTTAGAAACACAAGTATTTGATAAGTGACTATCGTGAGCAAAACGAAACTCTGGTTTCTTCTCGAATTATAAACCGTTTTATCGATTTTTCGCTAATTTCTACTTGAAGTTGGAGAATAGTATTTGTATTACATACTGTACTGCTTATTAAAGAAGACAAATAGCTAATTAAGAATATGTATTCATGGATGTAAATGCTATTCTAGGTCAAACAAGTTTGTGTCGACGGCAGAATAGCAACAGTAGATTGCACCATGCGGCATAACTACGATGACAAATATATGACATTTTATGTAATCTGGAAATTAATGCATTCGTCAAATTTGAGATGAATAAATAATCTAAATTTTCGTAAAATGTTATGTAGCATAAAACTGTGAAAAAATTATGTCAGATGAGCCAGTTAGAAGCAAATGATAATGGGAAATGGAAATAAATGTATAAAATATAAAATATAATTATGAAGTGAATAATGTGGTAAAATTTTAAAAGCACTCCTTGCCATTGTTATCAAAAATATTAGAAATTGGGTACCACTAGTGTCCACTGTCCATGGTACGTGACACATAATATAATGCCGCTGTGGAATATCATTGGTTCTTACTGTTAAATTCAAATTAACAATTCCAGTCATTACACAAAAGATCTTAAAACAATCATTGATAAAAGTTTGGAACTGCAAGAGCGCTTTTGGGGCACTAGCAGTCCCAAAACCGATCAGTTTGACTGCCCTGCATAATGAGGGATAGCCAAAATTGTGATTTAATAGCACATTTCCCCTCTTTCGTTATAACGAAGCAATTAATTTAAAGTTTAACCCGCAAAACGCAATAGATTTGGTCTTAGATAATTATAATGGATGTTGGGAATGATTTATTCAAAGTTCAGTCGCTTCAATCAATATTAATACGAAATACAAACATACCACCATTCCTAGAAAACAATTTAACGGATTAATGCACCTAGTACCGCCGGAAAATAGTACATTATGACTGAAGCTCTAAGTAAACAATTAAACGTATTGCCCTATCAATAAAATGGAGATCTTTTCCCCAGAGAAAGTGAGGTGATCCATCAATGAAGTGATGACCAGGTTGCTTATCCACTGATTTGAAACTTAAACCATGTTCTTGTTTCAAGCCGGTCTCAAAACCGGTTAGAAAACTTAGAGTTTCAAATACAATATGAATTCTTTCATGTTTTATGAGATCATGATGATGACAAAACTCTAAATATTCATGTATCCCACCTTCCGACAGTCCTTTCTCAACATCGTCAACTAATCGAATGCTAAAGGAATTGGGATTTTCGTCAGTACTAGGACATACTTTCAATAAAAAGCCCAACACCGCAGAATCATCACAACTCTCACATTTGTGCCCTGGCTGCGGAAACTCAAAAAGATGGTAAGTCTCCGTTGTAAAAAAGTCTTTATTACGGTATGACAAGGTTGCAGATATTCGACGGCAGCCCTTACTGGACGATACAAGTTCTTCACAGTTCATGAGCTCATCTAGGGAACTGCATGTGTAGTGACAGGCCAGATCACGAATAAAATCTGGATGAACATGAGAAAACCCACGACGAGCTTTCAACATTACTAGATTCTCTATAATAGAGCGATTCAAATTATCTCCACAGTACCCTTCTACTTTGAAAATCATCTCAAACAGCATGTACATGTTTTTAAGCTCTGTCATATTACCAAGTCGATCAAGTTCTGTCTCGTACATTTCATCATTCTCTATTTTAGCTAAGTTGTCCAAATTATGTTCGGAGAAAATATCCAAAACAAGATCAGACTTTTCCCCAGGACCTTCATTTTGAGAGCTTTGTTCATCTTTTGCTGCATTACTATCAGAAGAGAGATATGCTTCCTTTGACGTTTTTCTACTCAATTGAATCACCATGTCGACATCTTTTCGTTCAAGCTTGTCCAGATTTCTAAACAGGACATCGAATATTTCTTCATAGTAAAGAATTGGGTCAACCTTGTAACATTTAACAAAGTCAATGTTCTCCAACAGATATCTAGCATTTTCTTCTAGCCCTCCTATTTCCAATAGTCTTAGATTTTCCTTCAGAACATTTGCTAGAATAGTTGTATTTTTTTCAGTAATTCGGATGAGCCAGTGAAGTTTGTCAAGACAAACGCTGTTGAAATCTATCAACACATTCCTGACAAAAGCTTCAAGAACATTTTCAGGTAGGTCTACAAACTTTTCCGCGACCAATTCAAGTAGATCTTCATTTTTAGTGTTTTTCTTGACGAAAAGACTTTCGTTGAATAGCCATTCCAACGTCCAAATCAATTCCCCAATACAGTCTTCCTGTTCAAGAATTTGGATTGATCGATTAAATTCCTCGTAGAAGAAAATTTTGCACTTTGATATCAACCATTTACTCTTGAAAGCAGCGGCTATCTTGTTCATCTCCCTGAAGTTGTCCTTACTGAGCTCAAGTCTACCACAATAAAGTGCACTGAAGAATTCCCGAACATTCTCAGCAGTAAAGTCGTCCATGTCAACAGAAACAAGTCCTAAATTGAAGAACATATCCTGAAATACTGGACTGTGAAGACCCAATATCATTGAGTTGACCCTCATAGTCTCACTGTCCTTCAGATTAACCACGATATTACCATGTACAGGACAATCTAGGTTCTCTATCCCGAAATCTAGAGGCAGCAAATCTGCAGGGAGAGGAACTTTTGAAGCCGTCATTCTGATTTTTGAAAAATACTGAGATAGCGGACGTTAGTTAAAACTATTTAAGTTGTGGTAGAAACTTCAAAACATACATCGAAATGAACAGAAATAGGACCCATAATTATTACTTTTCGACATGGAATGAATTTGAAAATTGGAAACAGATTTTTATTCGTACTTTGACTATTAATGTTTTAACTCACAAGTAAGATATAATAAGTTACTGTTGCTTTATGTCAATTGAGATTTACAGTTTTCAAGCCGTCACAAATTTAAACATGAATGAAAGTAAATATAGAGTAAAAATATCGAGTTATATGGCAAAAGCAACTTGCCTCAAGCCTCAAAGTGCCTCAAAGTACCTCATTTCCTAACGATTCACGTCAAAGACTTCACAACTCAATACTTATACAGTTATATATAGTAACATCTAGCGCAACATCTGAATAGCACGTACTGTATCCAGGGGCAGTGATAACATTCTCTTCTCAATAATTTAACAAGTTCTGTACTTCCGTATTTTACTCCGTTAAATTGAGATGGGACCCCCAAATGTGGCAGCGCTGTTACAATCACTAGTGCAAATCTCCTCTACAAATGCCTGTGTAAACCATCATTATAAATATTAAAATATCGTCGCATCCATGTGAAACACATATTTTAATTAATTAATTTTAAACTGGTACACGTATGTTCTTAACGCAAACAGTTTAGAAATAAGTGCAGCGCGAAAATAACAAAACTTCATACAGCAAAATGTCCTCGCGCGCTACCTCAAGTTCTTAGTTTAATGTACGGTTCCGAATTACAGGGCCGAAAATCAAGCGTTTTATGCAATTGCATGGAATAATTTCTTCCAGATCATACTGTGAGACTTCCTTCAAACTTTCCGGATGGTAAGATAAGTACAAGAATGGCAATATGTGCACGTTTGGGTAAATTTTTATGATCAAAATGTGTGATATCACTTCGAACAAGAAAATATCTCACAATTAGTCAGATTTGACTAATTTGGCTATAAGACAGGTAATCTGAATCAGTTGGGGCGACTTTCTGTGTGCCAAATTTGAGATATCACTTCAAACACAACAATATATACTCATGCGATTTAGCGATTTGTATAAGTGGTATTTCAGGTGGTGATATTCTTTTAAAATTTTTGCTAGAACACCTCATATCATCTTCGGAGTTCGGCTACGCATATTTCGGCCTTGATTAGTTGATAATACATTTTCTGATTAAAAATAGTAGGGATTTGATAGTATTAGTATTGTCAATTCAGTAATCTCGAATCAGCGTCATTGGATCGGCCGACAATTGATCCAAAAATTCTGATGAGTAAAATAATAGGTAAAACTTCAAGCGTTATACTCAACGCACTTCGAAGGGTCAGTTGGGAAATGTCGCTGAGCAAATGTGACCAAACGCTTAATAGCTTGCAAATACTTTCTCTGAAACTCATCGTTCAGTACGTGAGCTACGTTGTGAGCGAAAAGTTTTTCTCTGCCCGTTCGGGCGTGAATACCCACCATAGTGACCCCAATGGGCCACGCTGCGTTACCTATAGCAGTCCTCAAATACACATCATTTGCACCGATATAGTCCTTCTCAAGTACAGCACCACCTATCTCACCGAATGATCGCAATAAAGTTTCATCAAGTGTCTTCTTCTTGAGAGTTTTGAAAAGTGGTCTGATGTATGTTTCCGCCTGCTTGATTTTGGCGCGTTCAAGTTTGACAACGAGGTCGCCTTCGTTTTCTCTGTATTTCTTTTCGCCTGTTTGCTCGTAGACGTCAAATAACCACCGATAGAATTGTCTGACTAATCCAAATAGCTTATCTTTATCTGCGTCAGGGTCCGCTATACCTGTTGAGAAAATAAATAAGATATAAAACTTATCAAAGAGTATTCTTAAGTACTTTGCAGCAAGGTAACGGATAGGTAAAGTTGAAAAGAAAGTTGACAGCACCAAATTTACACTGAATTCCTTACCTTTACATATTTCCTTCATTTCATCCATACTAGCTAATACTTTCAGTGCTTTTCTTTCCACTTTATCACCATGCAGCTCCATCATCATCGCTTTTAAGTATTCCTGTGGAGATAATGATGAAAAATCGATAAAATTTATTAGTTACTTTAGAATCCTCAAAATCATTCCGATATATTCAAAGTAACCGACTTTCAGCAACGTCGAGAAAATTCGAAAGTTACCTGATCGATCTTTTCCATGGCTGATTTAAAATCAGTTTGTGATTTTGATCCAGATGGTTCCTTCATCTCCAAGCTTCTCAAACGTTGGTATGTTTCACTTCGGATTTCTCCGAACAGTTTGATCGGCTCTCCTCTCTCCCTCAGCCGTTTTATCACTTCAGCTACTTCCATCAAGGGCTTCACTTCCTGTAGTTTGTGAATTGTGAACAGTGTGAAGATGTATAATGGTCAGTCAATGAGTCATATTTAATAACTGTAAAGGTAAAACTCGAACTAAAGTCTGGTAAATCAAGAAAAATATACCAACCTTAGCGTCTGCAATGTCTTCATCCTGATCTTCGTGTTTCCCCTCTTCGCTGGATATCTTCTTACGTTTGGTACAACGTTCAAAATATCTCTCAGTCTCGTACTTATCTATCTCACTTCTCTTCACGTATGTCTTCCCGTTTGCTAACTTCTTCTCTCGTTCTTCCAGCTGATTACGTATAAGTTGATCACAAATTACAAATTAGGTGAGCATTTTCTACAAACATAACATTTTGAAAGATTCTTCAAACGATAGGTAAAATAAAAGGTTGTTGCTTACCAGTGCCTTTTTCCTAGCAAGTTCAGCTTTCAAGAAATCCATACTGGTTATACTCTATCGTAGTTTATTCTATCGACATCCTAAAGTTACGTTGGTTACATGTGCCACAAGGTTACATGTGCCACAAGGTTACATGTGCCACAAGGTTACATGTGCCACAAGGTTACATGTGTCACAAGGTTACATGTGCCACAAGGTTACGTTACATGTGCCACAAGGTTATGTTTTATATCTAATATCCCAAACATCGTAACTACGGAGCAGAATATTCGGCATGAATTTTAAAATCAATAGGAAAATCATGATAGCTGCTTTGATGAACGTCACAAGTTGTAACGTGCCTCAAATATAAGAATACCTATCTTTAGAATAAAACACGTTAATAGTTTCTAATGAATGTGATAAACAAAAAGCAAAGAATAGCTCAACAAATACTGGAAGTTGGAACAAGTTCACAGTCTTTGTCTTGTACATACATTGGCTAGACAGAACACGGAATGTACCGGTTTAAACTAAACCTGAAATTTTACAGCAACTCAAAGCCCAAAATATACAAAAAAAGCTTTTTTATAAGTTCTGTGAATCAATACAAATTTTGAAAAAAATGAACCCAACAAATATTTTGATAAGTTTTGAGATTTCGTATCTACATAGTTACCGAAACAACAGAGGTCTGAATATAAACTAGTTATTAAGTTATTAAGGAATTTTCCTTTTACGGCACGACTGTTTAGAAGAAAAAACAGAAATATCTTTTAGTTCTACAACACAATATTCAACATTTTGATGAAGGTCCGGATCTTTATTGGAATTGACTTTTGCCCGATCTGAGTGTTTAGGAACTTCTACGACGAAGTTTAACAATGCAGTTATCCCGAGGCAGCATTTTAAAGCAATAAACATTAAAGTAAACCCTCGTAATATATTATATACATACGAGCAGGGCACACGAAACTCGTCACGTGGTTCCAAACATGTAAGCACGTGATAAACAATATAAGTTAGTTAAAACTGCTGCTGGTGCCAGCCCCATCTCTTGAGAGTGTGGTCGAAGGAGTGAGATATCCACTGTTGGTTCAGACAGTTGTATCTTGTTTGGGAGAGATACAGAGGCTTCCCGCGCTTCAAATCTATATCTTCTTCATCTGGTGACGAATAACCAAGTTAGCGATTAAAAATACAGCTGTAATAGAATTTACCTAAACATTCCCGATCTAGTTTTAATGTACACAACCTATATCAATGAAAGATATTTATTAAGTAGAATGGCCCGAAGTAAGTTAAAGTTATTAAGTAATATAAATTATATAAGTATAAGACGCACCATGCTGGTCGAGATAGACACTACCCCAGAGGTAAACCCTCTCTCCCCGGATAATGACAACAGTGCTGCTCATTATTACCAGATAGATCGCTGTTCCTGCTCCGCACTGTCACAAACATTGTTACATTTTCAAATATTGGGATTATACAAATTGATAAGTAGCTTACGTGTGCCGTTAAATCTGAGTAAAGATTCTTACTACTTTGAGTTATGCATCATAAGTCATAACTTAAGAATACGAAATTATATTCTACAATTATTGACGGGTAGATCTGATAAATCAGACGAAATAAAGCTGCAAAACACCAATATGTTGTTGACTATTACCTTTTGTGCGTGTTTGGTACATTCTCCAGTGTTGAGCCACTGACAGCATTGTGACCTGACACATACCAACTGCCCACAAACTAAACACAGGGCTGGGTCGTGAGGTACTCCTGAAATAGCGGTGTTATAGAACTGGTGTGCAGCTTTACTTAGAATATTTCTCAAATAAACTTTACTATTATTTCCCAAAATATAATGCCTCTCGAGGTTTTTACACTTAAATCCATTCGGAGAGAAACAGTTTCCCTCCTTCTGTACTACTATCAATCCGATTTCAGATTGGTTACTAAACAATATATAGTACACAGTACACACAGTACACACAGTACACTTCACTAACCTCTGCACACTTTGCACTTTACATGTCGGTAATGGAGGTACAGTTTACCGTACAGTCGAGGTAGAGTCAACAGTCGAGGACGTCCCCAGTTCAGCACTAATGGCATTAGCGGCTCTAGTGACGTAGAGGGGAGTTACGTTATATTACGTGTCAAGATACAAATTATAAGGTGGTACTCCACCCGGAAATCGGCATGATACCAATAAAGTGCACTGATCTGCAATTCTCGGAAAATTTGCACATTTCCCCGAAAAAAGTGATAATGTTTATCAGCAAGAAAGAGCGATCAGTAAAAACAGATACAGAGTTGAACTTACCAGTGAGTGGCGAGTGTGGCATGTCCCTGGGCAGGGGGAGCTGACTCACTAGATCACAACTAAACTTGAGCAGAACATCCCGGGGCAGGTTCAGGACTCTGCGGGGAATGTTGTTATAACTTGTACTTAGAAACTGTACATTTTCACTTTTCAGTGTATAATGTACATTTTCATTTCATCATTTTTTGTATACTGTATCCTAATAATATCCTAATATCGTATTTCTGATGAGATCCCAGAATCAAACTTGATTCCCAATTTGGATACTATTAACATACCCCCCCCCCCCCCCTGTATTAACATGTAATATAATCTAACTTGGCAGTGGTAAGGGAAGAGGAGGAATGGCTGGAACTAGGAACCAGGTCCAGCCATGCAGCTAGGTGTGCCAGCTCACTAGAACCAGGAGTGCTGGCGGGGAGAGGTTTCTCGTACATGTGGTGTCCTAGTAGCACTGCTTCACGGAGGAGTGGGACACATAGTGCCTGATATAATGGGGGAGGGGTTAGATATCTTCCTGACGTTTCTAACTTACATAATAAATATAAAGTAAAACATGAATGTTATGGGCAGTGAGTAAACAAAATTAATAAATGTTCAGAGATAGGAAAATCGTTGTGAAATTAAATCACAGCTGAACCTGAATGATCAGGAGGCTATACCATTTTGAAGTTTACTGTTAAAAGCTAACGTCATGTGAAGCATACACTGACCTGTAAATTAGCTTCAATAGACTGTAAGCTCCACACGTAACTAGTAATATCCATCTCACCGACAGTGGCGTGTATTCCTAGTCTGGACAGTTCTCCGCATGTTACTCCTGGAAGTGTACAGGTAGAGAGTTAGAACAGGACGGGGATGGGAGTTAATAATGTAATGATAATGGTAGAGACTAGATCTTATTGTATTAGAATTTCTTAACTGTTCGTAAACAAATAGCAGATAACTGATGATTGTGTTAAGTAAGGTGTTATAACTTTATTAAGTGTTTTGATTTGTTTACCAATCGCCAGAAATATATTATCTCTACTTGGCTATTTGCCATCAAATTGCTAACATTGTACACTCTATAACAGACAATGCAAACTACTGAATAGTGCACACATGTTCTGATGTTCCGCAGAAAACTACTTTTTTTTAATTTGTTTATACCATATTTAATAAACAGGATCTATAAACCATATTTATAGATCCTGGCTGTATTAGTGTATCTTGCTTATCGCACTGTACAAGAAATATCTTGTAAGCCTCAACACAAGAAGGGGTTCTGTAGCTAATTTTTCTAAGGTGCTGCAGTAACTTTCAACAGCACCTCCATTAAATTAGCACCTAACTGATACGTAATATTCAATATTAATATTCTAGATTAATTATCTAGAAATAAAGGTGGATAATTAGTATAATTACTAATTATTACCGAGTAGAGCCTGGAAGTCATCACATTCTGACGAGTTCTTCTTGTAATTCCACGCAAGTTGTTCATCGTGGGAGAACTTGGCTACCACAGAGTGGAGAGCTCGCATTGACTGTAGCGTGAAAAGTAGTCTTACCACTATCACGAAACTGAGGGGTGGTAAAATTAGTGGTGGTAAAACTGGGGGTAGGAAAACGTCTTATATTAGGTGGTAAAATTTAAGATTTCCAAATGGTGATATTATATTAATTCCTGGCGCTTAGCCAATAAACAATAAACATACAGGCAATAATTGGCTTCCTGCTTTCTGATCTTGTTGACAAAGGCAATACCATGTCTCTATAAGGCATCAATATTTGGAGATATCAACTAACGTTTGGGGGGGGGTGTAACCCAAAAAAACCCAATCCCAGTATGACCTTTTTCAGGGTAGGAGTTGGGTTTTTTACAAATGTTTCATTTGAAGGAAATAAAGTCATGTAGGCACCTAGCAAAACAATTATCAGTACAACATCACTGTTGTTGTTCATCACTACAACATCACAATAGATATAATCGCTTAAATATCACCCAAAAGCAGTATTTTATTCACTGATGTGCTCAGAAGAAGTTGGCCATCCAGATATGATATCAGCCATATGTAATGCTCACTTCGATGGCCATGGCAAATTGAGTTAGTAGGGACGCAACTCACTGATGACCCCAACCCTGACCGCAACCGGTACGAGAGGAATAAAGCCTTTCTTCTCACCTTCACGATCTCTGTTTCCGTTTTCCTGATCATCCGCTTAACGAGAAACCATGCTCTATCTCCAACTGAAAGAATCTTGCAGTTACCATCAGCTGCGTGATCACATGTGATATTAAGTGATATCTTCGCTTGTTTATGGCCCTGGAGTCGCTAAAATCTTGACTGGGATGGCATTCGATCTCGCCCTCCATTGAGGCAAACCTCAACAGCCATATCATGATGCAGAGCATCACCATACACAGTCAGGGACAAAAGGATTTCGCGGCGATTTTTGCCAAAAATCGCGATACCGCGAATTACATTTCGCGGTATATTAAACTATACATAAAATTTGTCGCGGAGAATGGGAAATTTCGCGATTTCGTACATGCCGCGAAATCCTTTTGTCCCTGTACACAGTTACTATTTTCGCCCATTCCTCTGATGAGTCAATATCCTCCACTTCCTCTTCTTCATCATCTGTTTCCGCTTCGTCACTCTCTGCTCCGTCAGAAGATGGTTGGAAAGCCTCTCCTTCAAAGTTACAGTGTTCTTATCGCATCATCAAAATTTTTACAAGTAGGCAGGTGGTCTTTCAATGGTTGTGTGAAGCTTAGGTGGCCCAAGGCGTCACCGCTGGATAGAAGCTGGGTGGAAGCCCTGGTCTGATGTGAGGCTCCCAGAACTTTGAAAAGGGGTATCCTGCTGGTGCCATCTTCCAGACACTCATCGGACAGCATGATGAAAGCCACTACCTCCACGTGGTGAAGACTGGATACTGGACAGGGGGTCCAGGCTAAAGGCAGGACGGTCGACGGGAGACATTGAGCCCCGGAAGTTCAATAATTTGATCTATTGACTCCTTAACTCTCGGTCTACAAGAGGCTTTGAGACTCGTAAATCTTTACTGTGGATTGCACAGTAGCTAAAGATGTGTTGGCTGTTACCCTGTTCAACCTAGTCTACTATGACCCAGCTAGACTGGACCACACTCTGGTAGTCAGGATACGGCTCCCTATGCCCGGGGTACCGGGTAACGAGGTAGTCAGGGGAAGGGTTAGTCCCCGCTAAAGTGTAGCTCTGTTCTCACTCTAACCTCCTTATGCTTTGGGATAAAATCAGAAAGTCCCACACTGGAGCAGGTGACGATTGGGTAAGGATTACAACTGATGCTGTTTGGTAGAAAAAGGAAGTGTCACATTTGTCTTGTATAGCATATTATGTTCGTGCAATTACATACTCAAGATACCCAAGATATTACGGTGAGAGTTAAAGATGGCTTTTGTTCAAGCGGATTGCCTTAACCTTTTACTCTTTTAGTGGCGCAAGAGTTAAGAACACAATCCACTGCCAATGTGCAGGGGACTGCACAGGATTGTGAGCCAACTGAAAAGTCAAGATGAATCTTATCAACAGCTTAAGGGTTAAAGCCCCTTATTTTTCTAGTGGAAGTGGTTGCCGGGGTAATTACGCTGCTATTACAGAAGCTGATAACTCGGTCTCCACAACACGACATGACCTATTTCTACAGAAAGTCAAACAAGAAAACATCAAAAAAATATGAACATCAATTGTATTGTATCATGTAAAAGGACTGCTAAGGTTAGCACATTTAACATAAGAACAGCCAGAGAACAGCACAAACGCATCGAACTTGCAGAACTATTTTGTCGAATCAAACTGCACATCCTTGGCCTGCAAGAACATCATGTAGTGCATTCTGAGCCTACCAGGATAGAAAAGATGAACAAAGGGATTCATCTAGTGACCTCATCTGCGTGGAGAAACGCAGCTGGCGCTTCTAATGGGAGAGTAGGAATCATCTTGACGAGGACAGCATATGAGGCTATTTAAGTCTTATAAAATCTTACAGCGCAAGGATCCTCACCATGTCTTTCAATGGAAAGCGCAGGCTCACTGTCATCACATGCTACAGTCCTACAGAAGCCTCATCTGATGAGGAGGCAGAAAATCTCTTTTGTCTAAAACCAAGCATCTTACTGTTAATTTAGTAGAAGAGGAGCCACACACAATAACTTCTAAGGACGGACATGCCTTAGAGGGGGGGGTGACATGTCTCCAATGTCTCCAATGTCTTTTGTCTTTTTTGAAAAGATAGGGTGCAGAGACATGTCCTGGAGACATTGGAGACATTGGAGACACAGCTTTTGGAGACATTGGAGACATTGGGGACATTGGAGACATTGGAGACAAAGCTTTTGGAGACATTGGAGACATTGGAGACACTGGAGACGTAGATGTATGATTGGAGAAGGAGGAGGATCTAGGAGGAGGATGACCCAGGAGGAGGACTTAGGAGGAGAAGGAGGAGGATGAGGACTCAGGAGGAGGACTCAGGAAGAGACTGAGGAGGACTGAGAAGGAGGAGGACTGAGGAGTACTGAGGAGGATGGCTGAGGAGGATGGCTGAGGAGGATGGCTGAGGAGGATGGCTGAGGAGGATGGCTGTGGAGGATGGCTGAGGAGGATGGCTGAGGAGGATGACTGAGGAGGAGGACCTAGGAGGAGGAGGACCCAAGAGGAGGAGGACCCAGGAGGAGGACCCAGGAGGAGGACTCAGGAGGAGGAGGACTCAGGAAGAGGACTGAGGAGGACAGAGAAGGAGGATAACTGAGGAGTACTGAGGAGGATGGCTGAGGAGGATGACTGATAGGGAGGAGGAGGAGAAGAAGGACTGAGGAGAAGGAGAAGGAGGAAGACCTAGGAGGATGAGGACCCAGGAGGAGGACTCAGGAGGAAGAGGAGGACTCAGGAGGACTGAAAAGGAAGAGGACTGAGGAGAACTGAGGAGGAGGAGGACTGAATAGGAGGAGGAGGGGGACTGGGGGAGGACTGAGGATGAAGAAGACTGACGAGAAGGATGAGGAGGAGGACTGAGGAGGAGGACTGAGGACTGAGGAGGATGAAGAGGAGGAAGACCTAGGAGGAGGACTCAGGAAGAGGACTGAGGAGGACAGAGAAGGAGGAGGACTGAGGAGTACTGAGGAGGATGGCTGAATAGGATGGCTGAGGAGGATGACTGAGAGGGAGGAGGAGGAGAAGAAGGACTGAGGAGAAGGAGAAGGAGGAGGACCTAGGAGGATGAGGACCCAGGAGGACTCAGAAGGAAGAGGAGGAGGAGGACTCAGGAGGACTGAAAAGGAAGAGGACTGAGGAGAAGGATGAGGAGGAGGACTGAGGACTGAGGAGGATGAAGAGGAGGAAGACCCATGAGGAGGAGGACTGAGGAGGAGGATGAGGACTGAGGAGGACTGAGGAGGATAGCTGAGGAGAATGGCTGAGGAGGATGACTGAGAGGGAGGAGGAGGAGGAAGAGGACTGAGGAGGAGGAGAAGGACTGAGGAGGAGAAGGAGGAGGACCTAGGAGGAGGAGGACCCAGGAGGAGGACTCAGGAGGAGGAGGACTCAGGAGGAGGACTCAGGAAAACTGAGGAGGAGGAGGAGGAGTGAATAGGAGGAGGAGGGGGACTGGGGAGGACTGAGGAGGAGGAGGACTAAGGAGAAGGATGAGGAGGACTGAGGAGGAGGATGAGGACTGAGGAGGAGGACTGAGGAGTACTGAGGATGATGGCTGAGGAGGATGGCTGAGGAGGATGGCTGAGGAGGATGGCTGAGGAGGATGGCTGAGGAGGATGGCTGAGGAGGATGGCTGAGGAGGATGGCTGAGGAGGATGGCTGAGGAGGATGGCTGAGGAGGATGACTGAGAGGGAGGAGGAGGAGGAGGAGAAGGACTGAGGAGGAGGAGGAGGAGAAGGAGGAGGACCTAGGAGGAGGAGGACTCAGGAAGAGGAGGAGGATTCAGGAGGAGGACTCAGGAAGAGGACTCAGGAGGAGGACTGAGAAGGAGGAGGACTGAGGAGAACTGAGGAGGAGGAGGAGGATTGAATAGGAGGAGGGGGACTGGGGGAGGACTGAGGAGGAGGGGGACTTGGGAAGGACTGAGGAGGAAGAGTACTGACGAGAAGGATGAGGAGGAGGATTGAGGAGGACTGATGATTGAGGAGGAAGAGGAGGAGGATGAAGAGGAGGAGGAGGACCCAGGAGAAGGAGGACCCAGGAGGTCCGGAGGAGGACCCAGGAGGAGGACCCAGGTCCCAGGAGGAGGACTCAGGAGGAGGAGGAGAACGACTGAGGAGGAGGAGGAGGAGGAGGAGGAGGAGGAGTCTCCAAAAGCTGTGTCTCCAATGTCTCCAATGCCCCTAATATCCATTTTATGTCCCTAATGTCCCCAATGTCTCCAATGTCCCCAATGTCCCCAATGTCTCCAATGTTTCCAAAAGCTGTGTCTCTAATGTCCCTAATGTCCCCAATGTCTCCAATGTCTCCAAAAGCTGTGTCTCCAATGTCTCCAATGTCTCCAATGTCTCCAATGTCTTTGTCTTTTTCGAAAAGATAAGGTGCGGGAGACATTGGAGACATGTCACCCCCCCCCCCCCCCCCCTTAGAGGAAGTTGAGGATTTTTTCTACCCAGGAGCCTGGATAAGTACAACAGAGCACGACTTAAGGGTACGCAAGGCCAAGGCATGGGCTGCCTACCACTAAATGAAGGCTATATGGAGGTCCAATTTGCGCCGAGATTTAAAGATCCGTCTGTTTCAAGGCTACAGTTGAATCAATCTTCCTGTATGGAACGGAAACGTGGACAATGAAAGAATGGAGGAGGAGGACTAAGGAGAAGGATGAGGAGGACTGAGGAGGAGGATGAGGACTGAGGAGGAGGACTGAGGAGTACTGAGGATGATGGCTGAGGAGGATGGCTGAGGAGGATGGCTGAGGAGGATGGCTGAGGAGGATGGCTGAGGAGGATGGCTGAGGAGGATGGCTGAGGAGGATGGCTGAGGAGGATGGCTGAGGAGGATGGCTGAGGAGGATGACTGAGAGGGAGGAGGAGGAGGAGGAGAAGGACTGAGGAGGAGGAGGAGGAGAAGGAGGAGGACCTAGGAGGAGGAGGACTCAGGAAGAGGAGGAGGATTCAGGAGGAGGACTCAGGAAGAGGACTCAGGAGGAGGACTGAGAAGGAGGAGGACTGAGGAGAACTGAGGAGGAGGAGGAGGATTGAATAGGAGGAGGGGGACTGGGGGAGGACTGAGGAGGAGGGGGACTTGGGAAGGACTGAGGAGGAAGAGTACTGACGAGAAGGATGAGGAGGAGGATTGAGGAGGACTGATGATTGAGGAGGAAGAGGAGGAGGATGAAGAGGAGGAGGAGGACCCAGGAGAAGGAGGACCCAGGAGGTCCGGAGGAGGACCCAGGAGGAGGACCCAGGTCCCAGGAGGAGGACTCAGGAGGAGGAGGAGAACGACTGAGGAGGAGGAGGAGGAGGAGGAGGAGGAGGAGTCTCCAAAAGCTGTGTCTCCAATGTCTCCAATGCCCCTAATATCCATTTTATGTCCCTAATGTCCCCAATGTCTCCAATGTCCCCAATGTCCCCAATGTCTCCAATGTTTCCAAAAGCTGTGTCTCTAATGTCCCTAATGTCCCCAATGTCTCCAATGTCTCCAAAAGCTGTGTCTCCAATGTCTCCAATGTCTCCAATGTCTCCAATGTCTTTGTCTTTTTCGAAAAGATAAGGTGCGGGAGACATTGGAGACATGTCACCCCCCCCCCCCCCCCCCCCCCTTAGAGGAAGTTGAGGATTTTTTCTACCCAGGAGCCTGGATAAGTACAACAGAGCACGACTTAAGGGTACGCAAGGCCAAGGCATGGGCTGCCTACCACTAAATGAAGGCTATATGGAGGTCCAATTTGCGCCGAGATTTAAAGATCCGTCTGTTTCAAGGCTACAGTTGAATCAATCTTCCTGTATGGAACGGAAACGTGGACAATGAAAGAATCTTTGAAAAGAATAGACGGATGTTACAGTAAAATGCTTTGGATGGCCCTAAACGTGGACTGGAGAGAACATCGCACCAACAAGGAGGGCTTTAAATCACTCCCAAGAGTTAGTTCGAAGATACAGGCCAGAAGAATGAGGTCGGCTGGGCACATCCAGAGATCCAGCGATATGATGACCTGGCAGTACACCAACTTCTCCTTCGGGAACCTAGCCATGGGACCAGAGGGAGGGGCATACCACCGCTCACTTTCGTCGATAACCTAATAAGTGACACCGTACTCAAGAACACTGGGGAGATTAAGGAGCTTATGGCGGACAGAAAGCTTTGGAGACACATCATTGAGACTCGGACTCTGAAGCCGCCTTAAGTCAAGTAATTTAAGTCATGTGCTTTGACTTGCCCTTGACCTTCGTCATAGCCTCCTTCCATGACAGGAGAACACATTTGCCACATTTGGCACATTTCCACTTTGTGCATTCATATGGATTATATCTCGATGATCGAGACATCCTGTTTGCTATCGTGATAACATACTATCAATATAAACACACTCATATACTATGTAAACTATCTATTAAGTTAAGACATGAGAACAACACGTAGGTAAGACTCAGTGGGAAATAATTCACATTCAATACAATTAATGAAATGGCTAGAATTTTGTTTAAATTTTGTTTAAAAAACCCAAAAAAACCTAAAAAAACCCAATCCCAGTATTACCTTTTCTTGGGTAGGAGTTGGGTTTTTTTGGGTTACACCCCCCCCCCACGTTTATATGTATAAGAACTATTCGAAGAATTCTGCTCGGTACTGAAGACAGAGTAAAAAGAATACCGATTGCTAACCCCTCATACCGTAAATATAATCTAAGAATGTACATAATATTATGCTGTCGAGGAATGTACACTTGTTGCTAAGCGACTTTTATCAAAGTTGTACATCACAATATAGAGCAATGATCAATTTTATTACAAACTACGTCAATAGCAGGCCACTATAACGCTAAACTTACTTTTCCCAGTCGATCTGCAACTTGGAAAAGAGCACAAACTTCAGCAGTAACCAGGACGGCTCCTGAGCACCAAAGGTAACTTAGGACCCCCGGCTGGCTGCTTACTGGGGGCTCCAACCCCCGGACCCCCACTATTCAACATGTGTATCAGTTCTAGGAGCAGGTCATTGCTGGAATGACATTCTATCAACATGTTGGATTGTGTGGCCAGCACGCTAATCAGGCGACCTGAAACACGTTGTTTTATATACTCGCTAATAAGGGCAGGATTGTAACTAATATATAAATCAGAGTTGTTAAAATAAAAACTGTTGGGGGAATCATGTGGCTCGTGTGCTTGTTATTAATGTAAACATTAAGATGTAAAACTAAACAAAACACAACTTGTCAGCTCAGAGAAACGTATAAATGTCACTGTTGAGCTCATTAATCGAATTTTAAGCTCGATACAATTATTTAAATCTGAAAAGATTTGTATCTATTGTCCATCTTAAATTTGATCAATGGTCATTGATAAATGAGGATTGATTGAGTTGAAAGAGCACGACATAAAATATGTACTGCAAAACAGGGGCGCAATAACTCTGAGTTTTAGTGTTCAGTAAAATCTTCAGATCTGAACAGACTAACCAGTGCAGTATTTCCTGGAACATTCCAGATCAGTGGTGAGATTGTTATTCCTCTCAATCAGCTCACACTGCAGCGTCGTGTGTAGGGACAGGATCAGGATGTCTTGCTGGGATAGGGTCTTCTGTTCAACGTACTTCTTGTAGTAGTCCTGCCAGAGTGGTTACAGTGGTCACAAAGTTAAGAATTTAGAGAAACGTCTAATTAATATGTTGCTCAGAAAAAAATTAAGATTTGCCATTGTTAAACATTCGAATGGATTCGACAGAGCTAATGTTCCCAATCGATTTTCAGAATCCGATACTATGAATACGAGACATTAAATAAATATATAAATATAGCAGCACTAATATCGATACACATTCATGAAATATATACTATGCAATCATAATATAATGAACTTTCAAAGATGCAGAAAAAGATCCAGCAAATCAGATCATTGGACGTTAAGTAGTACACCTTACGGTGGATAATGATTTAAAATATCGAGCAAACGAATATTTATACCACAATCGAAACATATAATTTTAATACTATAATGTAGAACTACCGAGTCGGTCTTTAAAATGGCTAATTTACATCCAGACCATCGTCAATACAACTATATAATATGTATAAAGGCGATACCAACATATTTACATATAATAACAATGTATAACTTAGCAGTACACTGCTTCTTTGACCATAAATCAAGAAAACACCTACATCTGAACACGCCCACCTATTTAATATATATAATGCTTTCAGAGATACCAAGGTGCACCATCAGCCCAATGATTTTGTTTGCAGAATTTGCTGCAGTGCTTTTAAAAAGTTCCTTATTACATGTTGGATGTATATATAGTACTTTAGAAATATATTAACAATATATTAACAATAGATTAATCTATTAATAAACTGATATCCAGAATATTCCAAACCTCGAGAGAGTTGACGAACTGTTCCACGGAGGTATAGTACGGGGTTTTAGTTGCTTTCAGGATAGTAGCGTTAACTAGGTCTATAGGGGCCTGCTGTATCACCTACGGTACGGGATTTATCATTAGTTGTTGAAAAATGTTATTCAATATGTATTTTTATACCTGGAATATGTCCAATATCATATAGCTTTATAGTGTTGGCATTATATCTGTGAATTAATTCAAGTTTTGCGTGACTTTTGAAACATTTTATGATTTATGATATAAGTTCCAGATGTGTAAAATAATGTAGATTTGTAACCTGTTTTATCTTGTTGTGAAGTTTGTGTGAGGAGCAGCCCAAACAGTTAATTGGGTTAGAGGACTGGTAGGACTTGTCAAGACAGGAGTGTGTAAAGGGTAGTGGTATTTGGGTGGCTGGAGACACTGGAATCTTCAACTGGAATTTTAGCTATTTTTATCAAGATCCTGCTTTGTCGAAATATGCATACATTTTAATCGTGCTGTCTAGGGGATCATAAACAATTCCTAAAACGAAGTTCACTAAGTATCAAAACAGAATCCAAACAAAGTCTAAACCGGATGTTAACTAGTCCAAACATGTTGGACTAAGACTAAGTCACAATTACCTCAGTAGGAGAGTAAGGTTTAAAGAAGGGTTCTGGAGGGAGAGGTAGGACTGTGTTAGAGAGTCTCCGACATGTAGGACACGACAACTCTTTACCTGTTACACAAGACATTTATATATATAATATAGTACCCATCTCTATCTTGAGTATCTAGCTGATTCAACTTATACTTTCAGAATCGCATAAGCAAAAGAATTTAAACAGATTAATGGTAAAGAATGTTAATCAAGATTCAGCAGTCAGCAACATACCTTTGAGAGGATTATGAAGAGGGTCAGTACTCCTACTTCTCTGACTGTCACTGTATGTTTTATAACACTCCACGTGCAGATAATGACAGCAACTTTGCACGTGTAACCCAGGCTGCGCGCGCTGTCCTATTCCCTGCCAAGTGGAACCGGAGGAGAAGAGCATCTTGAGGGTGGTGTAGTGGTCGTGGAGTGTGGAGTGCAGGGTCGGGATATCTTCAAATCGATCGTCCATTATCGCTCGCTCCTGCAGAGTTAAAGTTTGGAAAACCCATCTAAAGTTCAAAAATCAAAGCTGGTAACCAGTAAACAGGAACTTGTAATAATATTAAAGGAGAATGAGCTGTGAGAATAAGAAGCAACGTACGGTATCAGGAGCTGTACAGTGGAGAAGCAGTGAGGCAGGTTGACACAGGACAAAGGTAGCAATAGGTCTCATCTCTGTGTTCACACTGTCGATACTACAGATTATACAGGAATAAGTCGGCTTTGCCTCGTTCGTCTCTTCTTCCTGAAACAACAGGGGGTTCAGTGGGACTTGATGATATTATAGTCATTTATTAGTCACAGCGCTTTGATGATAGTTAGAGCCTATTAAAAAACTAGGGAAAAGTTTTAAATTGAGACCTTATAGCGACGAATTAAACTGCATCTCATTGCTTGATGGAGGGCACAAAAAGTTGGTCTCCGGTCGCGGTGAAGTGAATCCATTTTTGGTGACTGATATGGCAGCATGGTTATGTAACCGATCGACGAGGGATAAACATGCAGCAAGCTAAAAGACGTACTTTATAGATAACTGATCACAAAGTCATCGGGACCCCCAGCAATACAAGACCCCCAGCAATACAAGTGCGATTGTCTTTTTATTGTCTTTTAGTTGCTTTATTATTTACGGAATACCTATAAATTACACTGAAACAGTTAGAGTTTACCGTATAGTCACGGCTTTTGCAGGTATTCTTGATAAGACTTGTGGTCTACTCAAAGAGGTACTTGATTGTACTCTGGAATGATTGTAAGGTGGTACTGACGACTCTGTCAATCAAACGACGATTTGGGGCGCCCCCGGCCCCCCCACATAACGGGGTCAGCGGGGCCCTTCGTTACGCCACTGCTGACGAGTTATCTCAACTAAACTTACAACGAAAGATATTGGATTCTCTGCTTCCATCTGGGCCTCAAATATCCTCTGCTTACTAGCAAACTGTTGCAACAGCTTCGCCTGGCGCTCCTTGGCTCGCTTGCGCTTAGCTTCGCTGGTTGAGCAGGGGCTAGTGCTACGGTCGGGTGTGCTGGCGTCTGCACGCTCCAAGGAGCGGAGCAGCTTAGCATTGTTCTGATCACGTTCACTCAGCTTATCTAGAATCTTGGAGATAGCACTCACACCTGAATTGTTGTGAGTCAGTATCAGATTTGTTAGAGCTGAAATCAGAGTAAAAGTAGATTCGTTTAATTTCAGTTCTGAGCCATGGGATGAGTCGGAATGTACCGTGTTTTGGCTAACATTAACAGGTTTATTGAAAACATGTCCTGATATTTTAGACAAGACAACTATCTAATAAGTTACAGTGCAGTGATTGTATTTGATGTGGAATTACTCTGTCAATACAGGTAAACAGTTCAGTAATCAAATTATCTAAATACGGATACGATGAACAACACAAAGTGACACTACCAGACTACACAATATCTGAGAGTTGCGGAGTAAACGTACCATTATGTGTGGTGTAAGCGTTGCTGGAACCAGGACTTTGAGAGAAATCAATCTGAGCCAGCTTCTTCTAATCTCGTACATACACTGGACAAGGCTTGTACCTGTAGGAATGAGGTGTCATCACGTGACTCAGGTTTATACTCTATCTTTATATCTCTCTATACAAAGCACTGTTGTATCGTCTGAGACTCTGACACAGCCAAAATTTTGTTGTTTCCTTAGCCAATCAGAAATTCAGAAATACATTTCTTAGACCTATTCATAGAATGATTTTGAATAGACCTGGGAATCTAGGTTGTGGCGGCTGTTAAGTGCAAAAGTCTCGTGGCACTGAGATTCGTGTGTGTAAGAGACGTCAGAAAAGTCATTTTCTGGCCATTTTCAGGAAATGTAATGCTGGATATATATATTTTCGGGTGAATATTTGCTTTTAGACAGCAATTATGGGCGGTGCTATATAAATCCAAACACCTGACATGATGTGATAATCTCTTGAGCCGGAAATAGTGAGCTCGAGTACTGCAGTAAGTTAAAACACGAAGAGGTTCACATTTGATGAAAAAGATCGCGGCGATTTTTAATTAATTCGACATAATATTCGTATTTCATATAATATTATTATACAGTAATAACAGACTCAGCACATAATTTGACATGTAAAACTAGGGATATTGTATGATTAAGGTCAAGGTGCATGGCGGGGACCATATCAGGGCCAGGGAGGGGAATTAATTTACACCCTTGATCAACTTTTGATCAGACAAGTACAAGCTGTCCGACTTGAACCCATAAAATATATATTGTTATTATATTATATTTTAAAGGTTTTTAGAATATCTAAAGTTCGTTTCCTGTTCTTATTATTTACTAGGTGCTCTGTAACGCCATACTCCACAAAGTATAAGCCTGCAATATACTATAATATAAGTAATTATCACTGAAATTCTCGGATTCAACTTGGCTTTATCCCAGAATTTCCCTCCTCTATGATTAGATTCAAGGTAGGCGAGATCATCGAACATAATACCCCCTTGATTAAGTTTTGATCAGATAAAACTAAGTGCAATTTGTCTGACTTTACAGAATTTCCGTTCCCATCCTGTGTCTACTTGTTTAAACTATTTAAGCTGGATTTTTCCGACACGTAATTGGATATTGTGCCGATGGTTAGCATTAACATTCAACATGATATTTTAAAATCGCGTGTATCACGATACTGTAATTAGTTATTAGTTTGATCAACATATGATTCGTTGGGTATATCTTAATATCGGAGTGTGTAATAAATGTTAGAATTTATTTATTTATTTATATGAGAGAAATTATAAAGTGGATACTCATTAATTTCCAATGATAACAAATTCGCGGATCAAATTTTAGGTGTTATGTTCACTTACCCATAACACATTGATAAGCGTTCTTAACAATCCTGTCCGACTTGTACTTGATATCGAACATGCTCTCCAGGGTACCAGAATGTCGTTTCCTAACTCTAAATATCCAATCGTAACACCTGAAAACCAATCACGTGTTATAAAAGACAAAAGTACGTGAATATAATATCACAGAACACGTGACATGCTTTAAAACCAGTGCTAACTGATATCCGATGCTACTTGCAATTGCAGTAGGGGGGCTGTTTAAAACGAGAAGGCGGCTGCTACTGCTAATATACTGTACTCTACCGTGTACAGTTGTTGAAATGTAGAGTAAAATGTCTTAACTTAGCAATTAGCATACAGCTTCAGCAGAGTACACAGTATATTACGAATAAGCGCTTGAAAGCACTGGTTTAACTACAGCATGTTGTAGAAAATGATCGTGGCAGATTCTTTTTTAAATGTAATTCGTCGAGACACACATAAAAGATTTCAGATGCATCCAATTGCAAATAACATGAAAACGGTTATTTCCGATAAACGGTTTTATTAAAACCCACCGCAGAACACTATCTTGCAGGTTGAATAAGGAAACTTTCAAACTAATCATAGTACTTAGTTTAAAATAAATTATAGAGTGTAGACATTGACATTGTTATCTGCCGGCTCAGGAGACGATCAGCGGATGTTTTGACTTGTGAAATAGCGCATGACAATCGTCGACATTACCGATTTAAAATCCTACGCTACGGTATCGTGAGTAAGATAACTTTGAGATATGTACATCCAATGTGAATATCGAATAATCACATACACATATTACACAATCAATTACCTTATGTGATCAAGAAGAAGGCAAGATAATTTGTAAATATTTACATCCCATGTGAATATTGGATTATCAAAATCACAATCAGTTACCTTATAATTGAGGAGAAGGCAGTAGGGTCCACTCCTTCAGGGACATAAACAGCACAGATCTGATCCAGCGTGGCCAGCTCCTCCTTTACCAGCGTACTCAAATAGTATATCAGGAGGTTTATCATCTTGTACCTGAAGCAAGAGGGCGCTAACTTAAACTTGGTACGTTCTTCAGTTACACACTCACCGGTATAGTAAAACAATGAACATACAAAATAACAAAAGATAAAATTAAACATTTAAATAACATTTAAAGAGAAAGTTTAATAAGCGTACCGATGAGGTGGAAGTTGCTCCAGCACTTGTTGTATGTGGTACATATGCGTCTTCTTATCGTACATGGCCGTGCCGATACCGGTGGTTAGGGACAGCTGTTTGGCAGCGTTATAGAGCCGCGCGAACAGCGGCGGTTGTAGCCTGCTGTTACACATCAGTAACAACGCTTCTGTTACGTCCTGGAGCCTGTAAGGGAGTTAGGGGTGAGCGGTGGAATTATTGTTTTATTTAAACAAAACAGGAGAAAATGTTTTTTTAGATCACGTGAACACAATTTGTTTTCAAAATATATTAGGTAAACGACCTTTGAAATAAAGAGCAGAACCTTATATAATATTATAATACGTTTTGTAAATTAATTATAGATCGATAATTTATCGCCACATTATTATAATATACTAATATATATTAGGGAAATTCTATTAAAGCCAAACAAATTATTAGATACGAACTATAAATAGTACATACTACATAGTTTCGATTAAAGTAGAGCTTTAAACATCATAGATTAAAACTTTAAATTCTGTCATTAAAACTTCATTATCAAAAGACAAAAGCTGGGCAGAATGCCCAACCTGTACTGAGCATGGCTCCAGCTAAATACATGTTACTACTCCTTCGTAGGCCATCATATTGCCACACGTTATTGCTTTTGCTATTCATAGATTGGTTTCAAGCAAGCTAAGGTGTTGCACTTACCCTGGCGCCCTGGCACAAAGCCAACTGAACAATTTTATAAAAAATCAGCCATGGTAATTGTTTAAATCCCATGACTCACAATAATGGTAAAATGCATCGTAAGAATATATCAGCTTAAAATGTAACACTAACGTGTACTGGTCGGGTTTGATAATGAAGGTGTGAGGAGAGCTGATCAGTTTTCTACACAGCTCCTGAACCCTCTGTTCAACTGCTTTACCTGGGATATGAAATTAACTGTAGATCAGTACACTAATACAGCTATGACGTCATCAACTATGATGTCATCAGTCAGGTTAGTGCCGGCGCTGAGTTGCAGCGACGATGTTTTTGAAACTATAACTAACAATTATACGATGAACGAAAATGACATTAAAGCATTTTATTAAACATATATAATATATAACATAATATCAAATTATTGTATTACAATTGTTGATATTTATTCAGGCTGCTAAAATGCTCAGATGGATGGGAGCCACAGCTGTGTATAGGTTTAATTTAAAGTAAACTAAAGTCAGTATTATTAAGGATTACAGTCACATTCAGCATGGAACACATGTGCCTCTGAATCTTACTCTGTGACCCGTAAAGGCAACCTATATCTCGTTCGAATCTCAGGAATGCTGTAAAAATGCAGGCCATCAATTTACTAATTTAAAATTACACTAAACACTTTTAGATAGAAATTAATTCCACAGTCACGAGACGGATTCAAATCACATAATATGATCACCTTTATATAAAGTAGGGAGATGTCTGTGTTCTTGTAAGAAGAGGATACACTTGACGATAGCTTGGGGGACTGTTCCATCCTCCTGTTCTGCTACTGTTATATCTGGCTTCAGACTACCTGAGATACACTATACGGTCATCATCTGCTCTGTACTAACTACGACAGCTGTACCGTAATAATAGCCTTGAATTTAAGACACTGCGATCTGAGGTCTGCTGATAACATTAATTGTACATCTTCGTCTAAATCCAGTGTTTACCTCTTTCGAGAACAGGAGTTGTTATATCTTCAGGAGCATCAACACAGAGATCTATCAGATAGAAAGTCAGGTAGATCATGTTATCATTAACAGTCTCTGTCTCCCGCATAGCTTTGTACAGTACAGTGAAGAGCATGGCGTGCAGTGTACGGCTGTGCAGAATACGGTACAGAGGCTTACACTGGGGGTTGAGGGCCAGGGGGGTCCTGAAGGGAGGCCATAGTCCTTGTACCTGAGCGAGAAGTGAGGATTTAAACTCAAATAACATAATAGGGGGGGGGGGGTAACAGTGTAACACCTTAATAATATGTACTTATTGGGAAAGCACGGACGAATCTTATAAACTGGTTCACAGCATTATTTTACATCTAATTCACCTTAGTTTTGTTCTGTGACTGATACCAGCCCTTGTACTTGTCCATAGCAAGCTGATATCCCCTCTTGTAACTCCCCCGCAACATTACATGTAACGGCTGAAACTCGCTCTTCCACAGGTCAGGTTTAAGAGCGTAGATACCCTGGGTTAGCTGACCTGATTCGTTCGTGGGCTGTTTGTAGTCGGAGACTTTGGAGAGCACTTCGTCAAATAGCTCTGTGGGAAGAGAAACCATGATAACAATAATCAGAGATATGACTGCGGCGGGTGCGGAACCGCACTATTAGCCGTTTTACGAACATATTCGATCTAACAGTTGTTTCCCGCACTTGGTAATCAGGTAAAATCAAATGGTATATGAACCTGTGAGCTCTGATATCCCTGGTTTCTCAGGGAGATTATCAGTTAGTTGGGAGTGAGTGAAATCTCCCATAGTTAGCTTAGTAACCACCTCCAGATGTACCATTCTCTCCTCAGACAGTCCCATGTACATTCTCTGGTAAACAAGCTGCAGGATCAGGTTCAACATACTCTCTACTAGTGCCTGGAGGAGAATCGCATTGTCAGCAATGTCACACATGTTCTAATTTGTACTAAATTTCTAATTAAGAGCTCAGTAAAAGATTAAAAACTGAGCAAATATTTCGCCTGACCGTGATTATACATGTCACAGGTCCCTACATAAAGCCAACATGTACAGCAGATAGATAGTGCAATGTATTTAGTACATACCTGTTGAACATCAGTATCAGCAGGTTGGGTAGAAGAAGCAAAGTCCCCGAACTTAAACCAAGAGTCCAGTTTGTATCTTTGTAGAAGGGTAGTGAGAAGAAGGTCGCTATCCAGTGCCATCACACAAACCTGGATAATGACTAATGACTATATCGTGATTTATTATTCATAAGAGTTATGGTGCAGGTGCAGAGTGTATCTGATATTATTTGAATTTATGCAGTATAAAATATACAGGATGTGCCCTGATCTATGAAGATGTGTCGCTTAATGTATTCTACTGATAAGTAGCATGTGATCTGAGGGACTGATCGAATAAACAGTATCGAAAAAGTGGTAAGTACAACACTATATTTCAAAATAGAAAGTATGACTTATATTGCAGTAACATTAAGCTATAAAGAATGTTATAAAACCTGAAGAAGAAAGATGTCGAGGTCGACACATTGGTTACAGTACTGTCCCTGTAAGTAGAACTCCTCTTGTGATCTGAGACTGTAACCATTCCGTACCCACAATCCTGACAGTATCTCTCCTATTCCAACCTGAGGGACACAACTTTCAATAATCTATATTTCTAGTCTACGTCAAAAAAATGTCATTGATAAGTGATTGCAATTGTGTATCTAAAGGAATTAAGTACGATCAAGGTTTACATTTTTTCAGTAGCGACCCTTCTAAGAAAACATCAAGCCAAAAGCTAACAAATTACACACCTGAATTCTGAGGACATGTTCCATGACGCACCACAACACCTCCTCACTGGGTAGCACCTCCTCCAGAGTCATCCCGCAGTAATTGATAGCTTGTGATATGAACCCAGCTAGGTACCTGTGCAGCGGCAGGTGGAACGTTATCTCGTGTCTCGGTATTGGCCCGCTCGGAGTGAACTCCTCCCCGTTTAGAGGCTCTAGGAAGGGTTTCACAATCTGAACTTGGATCATCCTGAACCAGGACCTTAGAGCCCTGACACACTCGCTTAACACTAGTCTGATATGGTCACTCTCGGACGGAGAAGTGCACACTGATAACAAGTTTGTCATGATGTGAGATGATGCTTCTATCTCTGTGCTGTACGCATACTGGTAAACTACGCTCTCGTATGGTATGTGAACTATAAGGTGCCTGATGTTTTTGTTCATTCCAGTGAAATGGGTTAAGATTCCCATCCATCGCCTGATCAGGGCTGCTTCGCCCAGGAAATGTGTGGCTATTTTGGAATGGGAGAGAAGGTTGTGAAAATCGCTGACCACAGGCCAGTACCTGTGATGAGAGATAATATCGTGATTACAATTGACTACGAAGAGACTTTTAGAGTTCACATTGTCTTCAGTGTCATGATCCACCTTGATCAGAGTCCGTGATATTAAATCCGACAATGCAGACACTATGATGCTCAGTAAATTGTTGTTTTGTACCATCTTAAAAGTTAGGTTTTCGTTGCTGAATAGTTGCACACTTGCGTGGACAAGGCGATTGCAAAGTTTCTGATCTTCGTCTGGTTCAAATCTATGAGTCAGAAGATTAGCTATTTTAGCGTAACGGGAACAGAACGCCTCCATGAACTGTTGCTTGTAATCAGTTTCTTGAAGCATGCTCAAAACTAAAGTCACCAAATATTGAGGAAATTTTAGCTCAATGAGTAAATCGAGAAGAGTTTCTAGAACTGTTTTTTGTTCCTCTTCATAACCGAGGTAAGGGAGATCACAGTCTTTGCTGGGTCCAGGAAGGGAGAGAATGCTATCAGCTACACTCTGAAGAGGGGGACCCTCTCCGTCAGAAATATTCTGAATTGCTGAATCAGGGAGGGAAGGAGGCTGACTATTCTCAGTAGATGATTGTCGTCTTATCACACTGTATTTGTGTATCGACTGTTTGGAAGCTTCCCCTTTGAAGAGAACCTTTGATTCTGATAAAGAGTTCTTTCTAACTTGGAGCATGCCCTTAGCTACAACATTTCTGGTGATATCGCCCATTTCACAGAGTTGCAGTAAGAGTTTAGCTACTTCCTCGTCCCCACGATCCATCTAAAGAATAATTCTGTTATAATCGTATGTTCCAAGGATATTTACATATATGCAGTTAATCTCAGGTGTATTGGTTGATGAACTTTGGTTTAGAAGTTCTAGTTTCTACAAATTCAAATAGGAGCAAAATTATCAGAACTAAATCTGGTAATAAAACTAGTATTTATTTAACAATTAGTTTCATGATAACGTCAACAATCATTGGACTTGTCACACTTACAGTTAAGTAAGTGTGTGATTGCAGATTGCCAAATAAAGAAAATTTTGATGCAGTTACGCTGTTACCTTGTTAGGCTTATCTCGTGTTGCATCCTCCAACTTGTAGAGTAGGAAATCAATAAGTTTTGGAACAACTAGATTAACCATCAAGGTGACATCATCAGGGATTTCACGGAAGTTTTTGGCCGACTTGGGCCCATGTCTGGAACAAAATCCACAAGGTTTCATGACTTCAACATCTCCACAATCACATGCACCACCTGTCAATAAATCAGTACAATATACAGTTCTAGAGAGATCTAAAATTAACTTTATGTAAAAATATCGTGCTTGATTATATTTAGGCTCAGAGAGATTTTGCTACATAATGAAGGTAATGACAATGTAAATATTTAAAATTACCTGCTCCAGATTTGAACATATTGAAGTCGTGGCCTTCGTGATCACCATTTTCGAAACATTCAGCACACAGTGACATGCAAGGGGTAATTCCACATGTCTTACATCTGTAGGCAATGAAATTGGCATCCCACACCAGGCCACAAATAACTGATCTATCATTGGACTTGATTATTCTGGTAAAATCTTCTGGTTTCTGACCTCCACATATCACCCATAAGCATTTCTCCACATCTAAAGCATTTTTGGTGTCATAAGGATTTATAAGAGTAGAAAGGAGGGAATCAACTTGTTGAGGTTCGCGTGAGTAAAGGTCTTTCAAGTAATTTGGAAGGGTGGTTTTGTCATCACAATCATTTAACACAGTCCATACCATTCCTGAGTGAAAATTGTAAATTAGTGTAAATAAATACCAAGGCCAAGGTAATTAAAATATTCATTAGAACTGGACCAATAAAACATGAATATTTTTAACAAGTAAAATTAGATTTTCCTGACATTACATTTTAGAGTACAATAATATGTACGCCGTATTTTTTATAACAGACTTTTCAAAATAGAAACACACTTTTGAAAAAGTACAATACTTTGATAATATGATAATGTGATTTAAACAATGAAAATTCACGACCTTCCATGGGGCCTTAGATTATGGAACTTAGAATTTGACACTAGTAAGAAGTAACCTTTGCGTTCCTGTGGTAATCTTATCAGCTCTCGGTTCCCATGGTAATCTAATCAGCTGAGCTTTGCAGAATGATGCAATACTATTGGTTAGTGAAAGGTCAACACTCTCTCCTATTGATAGTGGAGTTGACATCATTCCACTCATACTTATCTAATTATGGCTGTTGTATATTCATGACCTTCCACGGAGTTTTAGATCACAGAATTTAACACTAGTAAGAAGTAACCTTTGCGTTCCTGTAGTAATCTTATCAGCTCTGGGTTCCAATGGTAATCTAATAAGTCGAGCTCTGAAGAATGCTGCAATCCTAATGGCCAGTAAAAGGTTCACACTCTCTCCTTATTTGATAAATGAGTTGACATCATCTCACTCATACTGATCCAATTATGGCGGTGGTATATCATATTCATATTGCTATTAATAAATAATAGAGTTGTGCAACCTGTCTTTAAAAACACTAGTAAGAAGTAACCTTTGCGTTCCTGTGGTTAAAAAAGAAAATAAGTAAAAAGAAAATTAATCTTATCAGCTCTGGGTTCCAATGGTGATCTAATAAGCTGCGCTTTGCAGAATGCTGCAATCCTATTGGCTAGTGAAAGGTCCACACTCTCTCCACATTTGATAGAGGAGTCGACATTATCCCACTCATTCTGATCCAATTATGGCTATGGTATATCACATTCATCTTGCTGTTAATGCAGTTGTGCAATGTGTCCCTAAATTTGTCTTGCTTTATGATGGACCTGCTGTTTATTGCTATAAATTTCAGTTCCCATGTAGCTTCATTTGTGAACAAATAGAACAAGAATTACGCCCATAAGGCTGTATAGGTGGATGCTAGATTTCCAGTCATTGCCTTTTCAAGTTAAATATATCCGATTAGTAAAATTCTATTTCACAGCTTATTCTACCTATTTTGGACCCATTGCACAATGCACATTGAAATTACATTAGAGTCAGAAAAACCATATTTTACAATACTTATCCTGTTAGTTTTAGTTTTTTTTAAATTAAACGAAAGTTAAATTGATTGGTTGGTAAAAGGACCCAATTACATTAGAGTCAGAAAAACCATATTTTACAATACTTATCCTGTTAGTTTTAGTTTTTTTTTAATTAAACGAAAGTTAAATTGATTGGTTGGTAAAAGGACCCAGTTGCCCCCCCCCCCCCCCCCCCCCCCGTAGAGAAATCACTGTTGTTCTTATGATTTCGAAACGAAGGCGCTTCCTTATGTATCCAACAGCATCTGAATACCTTTGACCTGTGTGGTATTCCATCTTTCTAGCAAGCTTCTTTACTAGTCTTTCAGCTTCACCACCCATTCCACCAGATGTTGAGAAAACTAACGGCGTGGAGCTTCCTTTTTTACTTCCAGAACCCTTGCATTGTAACAATTTTTCTTTTCGTATACACGTAGGTATAGTACTTACTAATAATTTTAATTTTATAGATTAATAAAGCTTTTTGGGAAGTTGTAAATTTCTTTATTATTCATTGTAGCGCGATGCACTACTGGTATGGGCCGCGCGCGCATCCAATAATGCTTCTCGTTACCACAAAGCGGCGAGATGCGAAGGATTGACATCGTGAATCAATATCATTCTTGTATCACGTGGTGACCCCCACTGTCGCTTCACTATAGTGTTTCTACGGGGAGCCGCGTACTCGTGCGCGGCGGGTTATACAACGTATGACAAACAAAAATGTCATATTCGCATCAAAATGTTTTTGGAAAAAAGTTTTTCGTTTGTCAAAAAACTTACCATCAACACTTGTTGGTGATTTTTTAAATTAAATTACAAAATAACGAATACGTTTGCCGGCAATCCTTTAGAAAGCAAAAATAATATAACTGCGAACACAAAGAACAGCACGCCAAATAAAATTCTTCACAGCTAGCTTGTAGCCTTGATACATAGTATAGTAAATCGCGCTATATATATAATTTATAAATATTAAAAATAAAAATTTGACAATAAATTTTAAAATGATCTTTGGCGCCGCGCAGATCCAGAAATCTGCGAAAAAATCGAGCGCTATTGCAAAATATCTCAACAGAATCTTATTTATTTTTCAATTTTTGCGTCTTTCTTTTTGTCTTGTTTCCTTATATTTCCACCAGATTTATCAATGTAGTTTAATTAAGTAGCCATTGCCACTTACAATATTACTGTTGTATATATACAGTACAGACCACAGACATGTACACTACGTATATATACGTAGTGTACATGTCTGTGGTCTGTACTGGGCCGTGAGACACAAGGGTTACAAATTTCTCACAGTGGACACCCGGTTTTGTTTAAGCTCACATTACTGGACGGTGCTCAGCCTGTCATTCCGCCGAATCTCTATTCGTTTACGAACATTGTAGCCTGGGGTCCCCAGGTAAGGCTCACAGGGCATATCGAATGCATAAGCATATTAATAGGCACATCTCAACCAGTGGCGTAACGTTGCCTGTTGGCGCCCCCCTGCCGAAAAAAGCGCCCCCCTGTTGGCGCCCCCTCCCCTTTTGGTGCCCCTCCCTAAAATTGAACAAATTAGGTGATTTTAGAGAATACGCCAGTAAAATCTCTAAAAAAGTGTGTATCTAGCGCAGTTTTGCTAGTACTTTAGTTCAGTTTTCGAAATTGTCCCACATTCAAACGACGATTTGGCGCCCCCCTAAGACGGCGCCCCCCTGCACAGCGGGGTCAGCAGGGCCTTTCGTTACGCCACTGATCTCAACTACCTCTCACCATACTTTGATTATTTATGTTTTATTCATCAAGTTGTTACAAACCAGTGCTGTTTGATTTTTACAGACAATGATAGTTCCTTGATATCATTATAATCGTAGGAGATTAAAATTATATAGATATCAGATAGACATGTTTGGAATCGATATTTTGTAACACAAATTTTAATTTAATCTAATGATTTTTTTTATTTTACTTACCACCTCAGTGGAAATATTTCTGTGCTTGATCACCTGACGTGGATTTCCTGACTTAATTTATGCACAGTGGCAACTTGGATCGGATTACACTGTCAGTAACGAGGTCAGTGTCCAGCTAAATTGTCATTACGATTCATGAATGTGCGATCATTAGGGAACGTTTCAACTCCCTAGGGATTAAAGTCTTTTAGGTTTGTAAATTTGATCAATATGTCAGCATCAGAAGATATACCTTGTCATCACAAGAAGGCAGAGGTTTGTTTTACAAGACCTGAATACAGAGCACCTAACAAACCGAATGCTGTAAAGGTGTATACTGTAAGTCAGGAATCCCTATATCTCATTATACAGCATGTACCAGCTATAAATCTTGGACCAGAGCTAGCCAAACTGCTAAACAACTCAGGCACTCTTATCAAATTTGAAAAAATCAATGACTATCCTTGTGAGGAATTTACAGAAGCTTATTTATGTAAGTATACTACTCTTGCATCGGCTCGGTATATCAAAAAGAAGTATGATGACCATAGTTTCTATGGATCACAGCTCCATCTGACTTATGCTCCAGAACAAGAGAGTGCTGATGAAACTTGTCAGAAATTGGATGCATATCGCAAGAGCTTTTGCAAGGTTTTGAACAGTTTGTCATCACAACAAAATACATCCGCGCTCAGAAATTCCTTCAAACGAAATAGTGCTGATTATAAAGCCTTGCACTCAGACTCAATCCGTTTTCAGAATAATGAATTACGATACAAAGACTTGTCTGTAGGCACCCGTCATCCCTCATATTCTTTCCTTCAGTCAAGTATTTCAGAAACAGCAACAAACTCCTGTGAATTGCATATTCCACGCATTTCATTGCCAACAAACTGTAATAGCACAACATCAAATCCTCCAACACAACAGTTGTTCTGTAAAACCTCTGATTTTAGGCCTGTACCCAGACAGGTTAAGATAAGACAGAGTGGAGCAGAGAGACATGTTGGAAAGCAAAAAAGGGGTGGTAATGAAACTGTGAAACACATTGGGGTACCATCCTCAAAGAATCTTCTGATAAGCAGCGAACTCCTCAATAGAACTGGAGAATCAAATTCCGCAAAAGATAATTCAAACAGAGCACATAATAGTTGCACTGCTGAGCAGTCAAAAGAGGTTAAAATAAAGAAACGAAGGAGAATATAATCTGCTCTTGGAATTTTAGAAGTAAAGGTGTTGCATTACTTGTTCAATTCAAAGATTTTTATTTAGCTAATTTGTTTTTCAGTTTAATGAACACCAGCTGTCTTTTATTATAAAATATATATTTATTTCACATTGAACTTGACAACTTTTAGTAAAACCGATTTTAATTCATATCGATATCTTACTGTTAGGCTTTTGATGTTGTGTATAAGTCACTCATAATTTTTTCGAAAAACCAGGTTTAACTCATTGAGAAATGAGTGGCTGATGTTTGATAATTCTTTAATTTTGGTTTAAATATGTATTTTCATTTGTATATAATATTATAACGATTAATTATATTAACAATAATACTATTTGTATGTTACATAGCTGGATATGAGAGAAGTCTACCCTGCTATATGACTGAGCTTCATGAGTTCTCTGCCCTAGGAGACGAGGAGGCAGTTCAGGATCTTATCTATAGAGGTGGGTTTATTTTATACTTTAAAGATATGATTATACAGTGTGGCCAGTTATCAACTATATTTTTACATTTGAAGGTCAATCTGAGACATTCGTTTGGCAACCGAACATCACAGTGCCATGTTATGAGCCTGACATGTTTTTTTATAAATAGCTAATTATTGGCCAAACTGGACGGATCCAATCTGACTGACATATTTTTTTGTCATTATAATATATAAATAATATATAAATGTAATCATTTTTTATAACATACTACAGAGCCTTGACAATTATACTCTGCTAAGATTATTTCCCACGAATAGGTAATATTATAAGATGTCGAATAAATATTGCTCGATCAATCTGACAATCCATCAAAGTTATTAACAATAGAATGTTCACATATAAATCTGTGTTTTCCATACAAGTTAAATGTGTCATCGTCATCATACAGGTGTTTGTTGAACACCCTTATCAACGTTTTGCTTGTTCAGATCTGCATCAGTTCTTTTTCCTCCTGGCAAAGGGTTGTATTATTATTGTAGTATTGTATAATGCTTTGTCTTCATTAGCAAATATTCATAAAGTTTACGTTCTAAAATGTCGAAATATTGAATTTCAAGCTTGCTTTTTTCTCACCATGACTAGTAGATGATGCTATGTTGAGAATGTAGGTCATGAACTTATAGGAAAGCCGTATTCTGGACCATACAAATGCTCTAAAGCTGGACACGGTAAGACTATAGATGTAGAAGTTGCTGTAATTGTTCAGGGCAATGAACGAAAATGCCACTCTATAAAAATGGGTATGGAAGAAACTTTTGCTCTCCTCCTCGACTTTGATGATGGATGCCCCAACACGGTACACAACCTCTGGTAAGATAGAGATGCAGTAGACTGATGCTGTGAGAGTAATTGCCATGAGTCCTTGCTTCTTCAGACATTCTCGGCCTCGGCGAACAACCTTCTGAGCTACAACTAGCAAATAAGCAGTGGTCGTGACAACCAAACAAGTTGGCACAAATAACACCAGCAGTGCAAGCAAGGGCTGCAGCCATAGCCAGATGTCTGATGAGAAACCAAAATCGCATGCATACCTTCTATAGGAAAAAAAGGTATCCCTCCAATCTACAAGAAAGGCTGTGACAGGTGTGGATAAAGCTGCAAACCAACAAGCCGCACAGACCATGTGGGATCTCTTCAATGTTGTGAAGGGGGATATCCGGAGGGGATATTTCAGGAGGAGCAACTTACACGTAGTCAAAGTACAAATGAGAAAATTACTTGCAGAAATGAAATAGTATTTTGCAAAACAGTTCAAAAAGCACAGGATGTTGCCAAACACCCATTTATCTGCGATCACAGAAACGAATATCGGTAATATGTTTGTAACGGAAACCATCAGGTCACAAATTGCCATGTGCTGAATGATGACAACGATCATTTTATGAAGCTTAAAGGCCTTGTACTTCATGGATGCTATAAGAATGGCTGTGTCTCCTAACAAAGATGAGGCAATGACAAATAGAAAGTATCCGGCCCAAGTGTATCTTGTTGTGAGACTGTCAATGCCGTAAGCTGTTCTGTTGCTGTACTTATAATCTCGGAGATTGAACATGATCTGGTGTTTGGGAAAAAGTTAAGCGGAAGAATTAGAAACAACAGAGCAAGTGTGTCATAAAACGTGAGCTTGGCCATACTGTGATGTATCATGTAACGTGAATGTAATAGTTTCGTGCCACATAACAATACATAATATTTTGTAATATGTTATGACAGAAGGTGCGCTCCCTTTGTTTGCATACTGGGGACAATAGCAAAATAATAACATTTTATGAAAAAGGCTCCTAATTGACGCAATTATGAGAGGGTTGCGGATAGCCAAGCTTGGTAACAAATGCGCAATAGATGTTTATACTGGAATGTCTTTGATACTAGGACTAAAGCTGTAAATAAATAGATAAATTCTAACATTTATTACACGCTTCGTTATTAAAATATACCCAACCTTGATGTACATTTGAGTCACTCAAGCGAGACTAGGAGGAGACCTTTTCAAGTACGAGCGAGACTTGGTATGGAAATGTCAAGATTATGCACTTTTATATCGGTTCAGACATTATGGACAAACATTAGGAATATTATCCAAAGCTAGGTAGAAATTAAATGTTTTTAGTGCATTTTATGCTCTCAATGTGTTCCGACCAGTGATTCTTAGGATTTCTTAGCTCTTACAAATATTATATTACACCATACAAATAAATATAAATATAAATAGCACCTACATTCAACATACCTAATTGTAATGCCTCGCTCTAATGCTCTTACTGTATTATCATTATACAAATGTGAGTGTTCCCAACGTTGCAAAGTGCTCAACTGATATGACTTAGGAGCTATTATGATTTCGTACAAAGCAAACTAAACTTATTTATTCAACTCTAAGTTTTGTGTATGAATCATCAATCAATCATCAGGGACATAAATACAATTAAAATAACATAAACAGTAATAATTATAATATGACACAGTGCTAAAATGAATTTTTAACTACAAATTTTCTAAAGTGGCAACATTTTGATATAAGCTCTGATCTCTTATTTAATGAGGTAGGGTTCTTTCTAGGGCACATCGAGACAAATATTGCAGTGCCCCACCCCATGTAGCTATTAGGTTAAGGTATAATTCTCCGATTGTTGCAGTCTATCTTATACTTTGTATTGTTCTTGGTCCCCAACTTCAAAGGCTATATGGGACCTGATTTCCCGAACTTTCGAAGGCTATATAATGGGACCTAAAGGAGAACAATACAAAGTATACCATAGACTGGAATTATAACTAAATCTAATAGCTACAAGGCTGGGGCGGGGCACTGCTATTACTCTATACTGATTTCTCTCTATAAACATTTCTATATTTTTCTATAATCTCCTTATGAATCAGGTGTGAATGTGAGCGAGAAGGACGTAGAGTGGGGAGGCAGGACTCCGTTACACTGGGCTGTCACTAATGGACATTACTTCGTCACTAAGAGCCTTATTTATGCAGGTTAATTATCTGACCTTTCCCATTTTAGGATCTGTTTTTGATAACAGTGGTATTACATACTATACAGCTGCGTGCTAAAAAGTATCCGATTAGAAGTTGTTAATGACGAATCCGATCTGTTTCAGTATTATAACTTTGCAGGTGCCAGTATCAATGCTAGAATGAATAACGGGTGGACACCTTTACACTGCGCTGTGGAAGCTGGGCACAAGAAGATAGCACAGCTCTTGCTAGACAGTGGCAGCCACCCCTTCGCCAGCGACAGATTCAATGATACCCCCTTCGATGTTGCCAGAATCTACAAGCGGGAGGAGATACTCGAAGTACTGGAAAAGTATGTTACACCGTTTTGTGGAGGTTTCTGGAAATTTGATTATCAACATGTTATCTGATATTTCCTATTCTCATGTCACTTCATAGTTTGCTACCTTATTGTTTTTTCCATTCATCATTTTATAATCGCTAAAAATAGGACTCGTGCAGATGGCATTAAATCGGTGAAAGCCGAAAGGTTAACAAGACACATTTAGTAGGATATAATGTTATCTCTGAGCTGTTATTACATAATTTGGCCTCAGCTCGTCCTGATTAAGGAGGAGTCGCATGTCGAAGAGAAATAGTTTTCTGTAGAATATAGATAATGAGCTGGTAATGTTGGAATCACTCAGGCATACCATGTCGCACGCTGACAGCTTGACTCTGGAAGAAGAGGAGAAGAAATTAGAACTGGAGGAAGATTTCGGGTTCTTGGCAGATCCGGGTTCTCCAGAACCAACTCAATGACATTTGTAATAACACACCACTACCATACTAGTACTCTATTTAATCATATTTAATCAGAATATGTACATATTTGTTAATATTTTTATCCCTTAAATGTTTTAAGCATGCTTTGATTTTATATGTTGACATAATTTATTCGACCTTAAATAACCGTAAATTTTATAATTTTTATAAGGTTTTTTAAGAAATTTGTACAGCTTATCACCAAACGCCTGCACTGCTTTAATCCGAAACTCGTAATTACTGGATATATACAGTTAACTTTTCTCCCTATGCAACATGCAAGAACCCGAAGAATTTATGGATCGCACAAACTACGATAAAGTCTTATTTGTAGTCGATGTCTGATGATCGTTTGAACATTAGTGACTTGATAAATTTGCCAAGTATTACTTTCAAAGAATTGGGTATTGATGAACTTGTTATGAGTTATAAAAGTCTAAAACCTTGGTAATTTGCACTTAAAACAAATAGATATTACGCACTCAAGAGCAGACGTCGTGTTGGGTTTCCCTTATTGCTTGCTGAATTGCAGTTATTAGTTCAGTTATGTGATTTGATCAGACTGCTTGAAACCACTAGCGATAGTTCTCTGCCATCTAACTACCTGATATGATACTTTTTGTCATGACACTGTACATGTACAGTGACTAAGTCGCGTGGCAGCATTAAGTATATATACTATTCAAAGTGTGTGTAACATACATATTTTAAATACTTTACTTTATATATATATATAAAGTAAAGTATTTAAAATATATATGTTACACACACTTTGAATAGTAATTGATGATTTATATTGTAATTTAGAAAGTAGTTCAAGTTTAGAAGATTCGTAATTTCAAATCACTTCTTCAACAGAAAACAGAATTTTGAAATTTAAAAATTTGATAATAGTATAATATCATTTATTTTGCTCTCAAAATGGATGTTATTCTCAAATGATACTTGTTTCTATCTCATAAACTTCAAGTGGACCATATTATAGGATCATATTATACTTAGACCTGAAAACATTTTAAAAGATTATAGTAATGTTATCTAATGGCTTAAGTTCGTGGTTTAAAAGACTGAAAGTTTTCACTCTTTATCTTTCAGGACTGACCAGTGACCAATGGTCACTGGTCAGTCCTGAAAGATAAAGAGGTCACTGACCATCTTAATGCCATATTATCTTTTCGTGGTGCTATTTATAGAACATCCATATTAAGTTACCACTAATTTCTCGGTCAATTATACCGTTTGCGAAAATTTCGTATTTCTTAAATTGGTATTGTAATTACGATATAATGAACCCAGCCTTTATGAAAATATGCGAACTAAAATTAAAAACCCCTCATTTGATTATTAAACACCGGTTAGAATTATCATAAATGCACTTTTCTTATGGTGTACGATGATTTTGAAGACATCTTAAAGCAAAAAGCAAAAAACTGTAAACTAATGTTGAAAATACTCAGCATATGTTGAAATATTAGTGTTGCGATGTTTACTACTTCTCTAACTTATCGTTTCAGCTTGACAATAACCATGGAAGACACCGAAGAACCTGTAAACTGGGATAACGTAGAGCTGAACATTGAAACTGAACCTATCTCTGAAACCGAGAGTGAAGCTTACTTCCCAGAATCTGCTCTTATCAGGTCGAGTGATCAGTCTTTCCAGGAAGAATGTGAAATTATTAATGCTGAATTATTTCTTTGTTTTCTGTGTGAAAAGGAATTCGTTGAAAAACAGAGCCTCATCAGTCACATCAAGTCAGTGCATGAGAATGATACCTTGTGTTTCATATGCAAGAGCGAGTTTACTTCTGTCTCCGTCCTTCTAGTGCACATTGATCTTATTCATCTTGATAAGTCACCCTCAAAACCTAAGTCAAAGTGGAAATGTTTGGATTGTACTTCATCAACGGGTTCAAAACACAACAAATCCTTTCATATTTGGGCCACCACATCTCCTTTCATGTATCAAAGACACAAGGTTGTGAAGCATTCTAAAGGCGTGAGTGCAAAGGACAAGATTGCTGGACTTACTCCTCAATATCAATATGAATCGATATATGTATGTCATTTTTGCAAAAGTGGTTTTTATTTTTGCGAAAACTTGTATCTGCATTTGGTGCATAAACATCGTATCGAATGGGACATCGCCTTTAATGTTGCTTCAAACTTTGGGATGTTGCACCAAAAGAAAGTTTTCCGCTGTCTGAAATGCCCGAAAACTTTCAGCAACGAAGCCTTGTCGGATGATCACTCAGACTCGGCCTGTCAATTTTTCCTGGAGAACTATAACCTGTTAACAGGCTGGTGTTCTCGGTGCCCTCTTAATATAACCCGTCAATACTCCGAGTTTCTAGAAACTTGTCATGCATACTGTGTTTATGCTGACTGTCATCTTCACCCTTCCACTTCCAGCAAAGTAAAGACGTGCAATATAGCATACAAACATTGTAAAATTCCCATAATGTTTCGTCATGTAAATTATGATAAATGTAACTGTTGTCGCTACCACGGACTGAATCTTTTCACTTGTCCGCTGTGTTACGGTGAATTTCCCAGCTTCATAACCCTCACTGGACACTACTTCAGGAAACACTACCAGGATTACGGAGAAATTGTTTCAAAACTTGAGCCTGGGAATTGTGAGGATTTTAGTAAAAGAATGATATCAGGTAGTGGTACTGCAGAGGGAAAGTCAAGCAAAACCGTAATAGATTTGGGATAGAACCGAGAACGTTGTAATCATTGTAAATGGAGAGGGCCCGTCTGCAGGGACCGAATACAGTCGGTCCGGACTAATTTTGTCTTTAGTTTCGTTCCCAATTCTGTCTGTCCGATAGTCTTTATTTTTTCTTGCTTGGAGTTGGGACAGAATTTTAATCAGCCATATTTTTACAATTATATGATAAGTTTGATTGTTTAGGCATTCCCCCCCCCCTCCCCCCCCCCCCCCCACTGTTATGTATTGTTTTTCAATTTATCTTTCCTTCAGTTCAAATCTTTACGGTAGCACATCCCCAGATTTATTAGTGGTACGATTTCCGATGTCCATACTCATATTTATAACATTAAGTATAACGGGTGATGAATAAAAAATGGGACTACATGTTTTTTAGCCCTCAGATTCCACCTGAACCAAATTTTGATATTTTACCACAACCACCAGTTACTCTGAACGATACTCGAACAGTTTCCGCCCCCATTTGATCAAATTGGTTGATCTTTTTCCCCGATAATGGTCTCGAACTAGGGGAGGGGTCCTATAAAAGTTTTACAGTAAAGCACTGTTCACAGAAGTCGCCTCACAGGTAGTTAAAGCTTCCATACCAAAAGATATTTAGCAGAGAGTATGCCGAATTGTATGCTTAAGACGAGGGTTCAACACCCATCAGCGTAGCTAAAACCAGTAAGAAGATATTTAAGCTCAAAACCACCTGAGGGGTAAAATTTTACCGTGTGAAAGATCGAGGCTAGGTCAACTATCGGCTTTAGCATGGTCTATAATGGTACCACGTAAAAATCAAAGTGCTTGGAGCCTTGCCTGGTGTTGTTCCTACAAGAAAATATCCCCAAAGGGTGGAAGGTGGTTCGTTAGGATGGGGCTAGATCGTATTTTTCTATGAAAACCACATCTTTATTTGCCATAGGGTTAATTTCGTCCCAAAAGTGATCGACCAAAGTAAATTTTGACAATTTCAACCTATAGAGGACTTCTTTAGGATCCTGGCAACACATGTACATGCCCGGAATATGGCTAACAAGCATACATGGGCCCTAGGGCACAAAAGAACAGACTGAGCCAACACGATTTTAGGCCCAACTGTACAGACGAATTTTTGAGCTTGAAGAAAGAAGCCCTCCTGAACCAATCAAAATGGGCTCATGGGCGCTTGTCATTGACCATACTTGTTCAAAATTGCCCGCTTTACAACGCTGTTTCATTGGTTTGAACCAAAAATAGTTTTATCGACACTAAAAAGACCCTTGAAAAAAGTCCCATTTTTTAGTCATCACCCGTTATGTTGACAAGAAATGTGTATTTTCAATGACAAAATAGATATAGATAAATAATATATCCCTTTAAACAATCTCTCTCTCTCTCTCTAAACATAAGATATTGTATTGATAATCATAAACATGTAAAATCTTAGATAAGGCGTTGTGTGTATTTATAATATTCAAATATTTTATCAGTTATTATATTAAATAAGTTATATAACTTGTTATAGGGAATGACGATACTAGGGTGTCCATGTCTGAACATACTGATACACATAGACAAGGTCGAGGGGAAGGAGGAGGAGGGACTGACGAGAGTGCAGCTTACACTAGACGGTATTAATATCCAGCAGCACTTCTTAGTTCACGAGATCAAGCAAGGTGACTGGACTATCGTCAAGTGCAAGGTAAGGATTTGTCGTTGTGAGGCTAGTTTCTTTTTGTTCGTACTACTTTTGCTGTTGTAAGGAGAGAAAGTTTCCATTTACATTCGTCAATCGCACAAAACTATCTCTACTGACTTTTCAAGTCTTTAACCCATTAAACTTTAAAAGTTTGCGATCATAATTAGATTTACTTAGAATGGATGATGTAATGCACTGAAACAAAGTAGTCGGTAGACGTTCGTCGTTCAATGATGTGTATTATCAATGGCGTCCAGTTCTGTGATACTGATAGTGGCAGTTCTGCTGCTATATCAGCATTGATAAGAGTACCTTGCAGATCCTTGATAAGAACTTCTGCTTCCGATGACATACTTTTCCAAGAGGAAATGCTAATTTCCACTGTTTCGTCAGAAATCTAGTTTTATTAATACATCTTGTATCTTTTCTAGAAAGATGGGTTCACCTGCCACTCTGCATATATAATGAAGATACGAATGGCTATTATTGCGAAAATGAATTTCTCAATTGATCTGCTCACTGCAAAACATAAACATACGATTTCTCTTACGAGGGAAGATGGAGGAGTGTCTTTCAAATTCAGAATTTTCTGTCAAATAATATAAATTTGTAAAAATAAGTTTTAGATTCACAAACTGTAAAGCTGTAAATCATCGTGGGTGTAATTTGTCGCTCACCAGTTCCAAAGCAAATGTCGACTTTTGGGTGCCATAGGCAAAACTTGATTCTCAATTTATCCCATTGTGCTTTTATGCTTTATATTGGTAAACTGATCACAGTAAAATGCGTTCTTGTATCCATGTATCACTACGTGTGTTCAAGCATTCTAATTTTGCTGCAAGCCTACCTGCATAACCACCTTTTGTTAATTTACAATAATTTACAATACTGAGCAACATCTCATATTTATTCACACAATTTCCTCCTTTTGACCGTTCCATACACCGTAAATCTATGATTCAGTCTTACACCTCATAATATATTAATATTTCGAAGTCATTTGTGTGGGGCAGTATAGCCCCAACTGCACGATGTATTTTCTGGAAGAGTTGATGAATCCAGATTTTTGGAACATTTTTGGAACATTTTTGGAACATGTGCCAAAATTGTGCCAAATGTGTGCCATGCATTTATTTGCCCTAATGAGCTCAAAATAGTGCCAAAAATAATTGTAAATGATGGATATATTTGCAAGCTAGGTCTAGGGGCCATCGAAAGTAGCATAACATTACCCAGGTTCATGGAATGAACGAAATGAACAAAAATGAATATTGTCCTAAAAATGCTCAGAACGGTTTAAAATTGGTCGGAAAGTGTTTATATTAGTCCTAGGACCACTCAAACCAAGTTTGGGAATCACTGCATGTCTAGAACCGATGTTACCAATGTTCCAAAATGTTCCAATTTTGTCACAATAATCCTCCTGAGAATCCAGATTTTTGGAACATGGGCACATCGAAGTATTGGCTGTATTTAAGTGCTGGGAAGCCTCAATTCGGTTTTCTAAGATGGATATAGGTAAAAACTAGGCCTAAGAGCCATCAAAACTCAAATAACATTACCCAGGTTCATGGAATGAACGAAAATGAACAAAAATGAATATTGTCCTAAAAATGCTCAGAACGGTTTAAAATTGGTCGGAAAGTGTTTATATTAGTCCTAGGACCACTTAAACCAAGTTTGGGAATCACTGCATGTCTAGAACCGATGTTACCTATGTTCCAAAATGTTCCAATTTTGGCACAATAATCCTCCTGAGAATCCAGATTTTTGGAACATGGGCACATCGAAGTATTGGCTGTATTTAAGTGCTGGGAAGCCTCAATTCGGTTTTCTAAGATGGATATAGGTAAAAACTAGGCCTAAGAGCAATCAAAACTCAAATAACATTACCCAGGTTCATGGAATGAACGAAAATGAACAAAAATGAATATTGTCCTAAAAATGCTCAGAACGGTTTAAAATTGGTCGGAAAGTGTTTATATTAGTCCTAGGACCACTCAAACCAAGTTTGGGAATCACTGCATGTCTAGAACCAATGTTACTAATGTTCCAAAATGTTCCAATTATGTCACAATAATCCTCCTGAGAATCCAGATTTTTGGAACATGGGCACATCGAAGTATTGGCTGTATTTAAGTGCTGGGAAGCCTCAAATCGGTTTTCAAAGATGGATATAGGTAAAAACTAGGCCTAAGAACCATCAAAACTCAAATAACATTACCCAGGTTCATGGAATGAACGAAAATGAACAAAAATGAATATTGTCCTAAAAATGCTCAGAACGGTTTAAAATTGGTCGGAAAGTGTTTATATTAGTCCTAGGACCACTCAAACCAAGTTTGGGAATCACTGCATGTCTAGAACCGATGTTACCAATGTTCCAAAATGTTCCAATTTTGGCACAATAATCCTCCTGAGAATCCAGATTTTTGGAACATGGGCACGTCGAAGTATTGGCTGTATTTAAGTGCTGGGAAGCCTCAATTCGGTTTTCTAAGATGGATATCGGTAAAAACTAGGCCTTAGAGCCATCAAAAGTCAAATAACATTACCCAGGTTCATGGAATGAACGAGAATGAACAAAAATGAATATTGTCCTAAAAATACTCAGAACGGTTTAAAATTGGTCGGAAAGTGTTTATATTAGTCCTAGGACCACTCAAACCAAGTTTGGGAATCACTGCATGTCTAGAACCGATGTTACCAATGTTCCAAAATGTTCCAATTTTGCAAAATAATTCTCCTGAGAATCCAGATTTTTGGAACATGGGCACATCGAAGTATTGGCTGTATTTAAGGGGGCCGGGGGGGTCTTCATCAAAATTCTCTCGAAATTGATTTTATAGTTGTTTCTGATAGAGGGGAGTGATATCTATCAGCTGCTTTTGGTCCCATGGAAAAATATTGTTCCTAGCCAAAATTATCGCCAGTCAAAGGTCAGCGCTCATGTGTAATTGTATTGCGCGAGCGATTTTCAATCGCGCGCCCTGAAAATCGAGTTTAAAAATCTATCTTCTCCTACATTTTTTGAGCAATCACCCTGAAACTTTCAGGATATGTTCTAGGGATCATTTAGAAGATATCTGTCGAGCCGAATTTTGAGATAGGCCTTAGAAGATTTTTTATTCAATTTTGAAAATCTTGGACCTGGAAAAATCGTAAAAAAATGAGGTCCAAGATTTTCAAAATTGAATAAAAAATCTTCTAAGGCCTATCTCAAAATTCGGCTCGACAGATATCTTCTAAATGATCCCTAGAACATATCCTGAAAGTTTCAGGGTGATTGCTCAAAAAATGTAGGAGAAGATAGATTTTTAGACTCTATTTTCAGGGCGCGCGATTGAAAATCGCTCGCGCAATACAATTACACATGAGCGCTGACCTTTGACTGGCGATAATTTTGGCTAGGAACAATATTTTTCCATGGGACCAAAAGCAGCTGATAGATTTCACTCCCCTGTATCAGAAACAACTATAAAATCAATTTCGAGAGAATTTTGATGAAGACCCCCCCCCCCCCCCCCCCCCCCCCCGGCCCCCTTAAGTGCTGGGAAGCCTCAATTCGGTTTTCTAAGATGGATATAGGTAAAAACTAGGCCTAAGAGCCATCAAAACTCAAATAACATTACCCAGGTTCATGGAATGAACGAAAATGAACAGAAATGAATATTGTCCTAAAAATGCTCAGAACGGTTTAAAATTGGTCGGAAAGTGTTTATATTAGTCCTAGGACCACTCAAACCAAGTTTGGGAATCACTGCATGTCTAGAACCGATGTTACCAATGTTCCAAAATGTTCCAATTTTGGCACAATAATCCTCCTGAGAATCCAGATTTTTGGAACATGGGCACATCGAAGTATTGGCAGTATTTAAGTGCTGGGAAGCCTCAATTCGGTTTTCTAAGATGGATATAGGTAAAAACTAGGCCTAAGAGCCATCAAAACTCAAATAACATTACCCAGGTTCATGGAATGAACGAAAATGAACAAAAATGAATATTGTCCTAAAAATGCTCAGAACGGTTTAAAATTGGTCGGAAAGTGTTTATATTAGTCCTAGGACCACTCAAACCAAGTTTGGGAATCACTGCATGTCTAGAACCGATGTTACCAATGTTCCAAAATGTTCCAATTCGAGTGGTCTTAGGACCAATACAAACACCTTCCGACCAATTTTAAACCGCTCTGAGCAATTGCAAAGGGTTTACGAAAGAGTCATAAGGCCAATCAACAGACTATTCATTTACTGTACTGTTAAGATGGTTCGGTATTCTGCACCCCTCGTATCGGTTCTGGGCATGCAGTGATTCCATAAACAGTCAGACAGTCACACAATGTACACCCTATATTTAGATCACATCAGTTTCATTTGTATCACATCACTTCGTGTAATAGATGTGTGGAAGCAAATAAAGATGTGATCTGAATAAGGTGATCCGAGCGTAGCAAGGTTATCCGATCTTATTTGGTGTGATCGGATGTAGAGGCGTAAGATCAGATCAGGTCATCAGCAATAGGATTAACTTAGCAAGCTTGTTAATGAATAAGAAGAGAATAAATAGATAATTAAGTTATACAAATCATTTTCCCTCTCTGTTAACCACAACAACTACAACGACAATGAATCCCTTCACTAAATTGATGAGCCTACCTCTTTATCTACCAGTTCAAAGAAGCACCAGCAGTCCACCTCACTCAACCAACCCCTTCACCAGCAACCTTCATCCCTCAACCAACTCATTCACCACCAGCCTACCTAACGCAACCAACCCCTTCACCAGCAACCTACCTCGCTCAACCAACCCTTTCACCTGCAACCTTCATCCCTCAACGAACAAATACAGCTAATGATGTCAAAAATGTATATCAATATATTGGGGGATTATTAAAACCAAAATAGTTGCCCAATCAAATAATTTCTGCCTTCTCTTGGAGGTACGTGTGCTAATTGTACATAATTCTGAATGCAACTTTAAGACTCTGTTGGACGTAAATATTGACTCTTTGCCACCATTTTCTTACCATTCTGAGCGCTTTAAGGAAAATTTTAATTTTTGTTCATTTTCGTTCATTCCATGAACCTGGGTAATGTTATTTGACTTTTGATGGCTCTTAGACCTATTTTTTACCTATATCCATCTTAGAAAACCGAATTGAGGCTTCCAAGCACTTAAATACAGCCAATACTTCGATCTGCCCATGTTCCAAAAATCTGGATTCTCAGGAGGATTATTGTGCCAAAATTGGAACATTTTGGAACATTGGTAACATCGGTTCTAGACATGCAGTGATTCCCAAACTTGGTTTGAGTGGTCCTAGGACTAATATAAACACTTTCCGACCAATTTTAAACCGTTCTGAGCATTTTTAGGACAATATTCATTTTTGTTCATTTTCGTTCATTCCATGAACCTGGGTAATGTTATTTGAGTTTTGATGGCTCTTAGGCCTAGTTTTTACCTATATCCATCTTAGAAAACCGAATTGAGGCTTCCCAGCACTTAAATACTGCCAATACTTCGATGTGCCCATGTTCCAAAAATCTGGATTCTCAGGAGGATTATTGTGCCAAAATTGGAACATTTTGGAACATTGGTAACATCGGTTCTAGACATGCAGTGATTCCCAAACTTGGTTTGAGTGGTCCTAGGACTAATATAAACACTTTCCGACCAATTTTAAACCGTTCTGAGCATTTTTAGGACAATATTCATTTCTGTTCATTTTCGTTCATTCCATGAACCTGGGTAATGTTATTTGAGTTTTGATGGCTCTTAGGCCTAGTTTTTACCTATATCCATCTTAGAAAACCGAATTGAGGCTTCCCAGCACTTAAATACAGCCAATACTTCGATGTGCCCATGTTCCAAAAATCTGGATTCTCAGGAGAATTATTGTGCCAAAATTGGAACATTTTGGAACATTGGTAACATCGGTTCTAAACATGCAGTGATTCCCAAACTTGGTTTGGGTGGTCCTAGGACTAATATAAACACTTTCCGACCAATTTTAAACCGTCCTGAGCATTTGTAGGACAATATTCATTTTTGTTCATTTTCGTTCATTCCATGAACCTGGGTAATGTTATTTGAGTTTTGATGGCTCTTAGGCCTAGTTTTTACCTATATCCATCTTAGAAAACCGAATTGAGGCTTCCCAGCACTTAAATACAGCCAATACTTCGATGTCCCCATGTTCCCAAAATGGTTACAAAAATCAAAATTGGAACCACCTTCACATCGGTTCTAGGCATGCAGTGATTCCCAAACTTGGTTTGAGTGGTCCTAGGACTAATATAAACACTTTCCGACCAATTTTAAACCGTTCTGAGTATTTTTAGGACAATATTCATTTTTGTTCATTCTCGTTCATTCCATGAACCTGGGTAATGTTATTTGAGTTTTGATGGCTCTTAGGCCTAGTTTTTACCTATATCCATCTTAGAAAAACGAATTGAGGCTTCCCAGCACTTAAATACAGCCAATACTTCGATGTGCCCATGTTCCAAAAAATCTGGATTCTCAGGAGGATTATTGTGCCAAAATTGGAACATTTTGGAACATTGGTAACATCGGTTTTAAACATGCAGTGATTCCCAAACTTTGTTTGAGTGGTCCTAGGACTAATATAAACACTTTCCGACCAATTTTAAACCGTCCTGAGCATTTTTAGGACAATATTCATTTTTGTTCATTTTCGTTCATTCCATGAACCTGGGTAATGTTATTTGAGTTTTGATGGCTCTAAGGCCTAGTTTTTACCTATATCCATCTTAGAAAACCGAATTGAGGCTTCCCAGCACTTAAATACAGCCAATACTTCGATGTCCCCATGTTCCCAAAATGGTTACAAAAATCAAAATTGGAACCACCTTCACATCGGTTCTAGACATGCAGTGATGCCCAAACTTGGTTTGAGTGGTCCCAGGACCAATGTAAACACTTTCCGACCCATTTTAAACCATTCTGAGCACTTTGAGAAGAATGTTCATTTTCGTTCATTTCTGGTCATTCCATGGGTAATTTTATACGACTTTTGATGGCTCCTAGGCCTAGCTTACGGCTATATCATCTTAGAAAACCGAACTGAGCCTTCCCAGCACTCAAATACGGCCAATACTGCGATGTGCCCATGTTCCAAATTTATGGATTCATCTACTGTTCTGGAAAACGCGAAGATAAAATGTGCTGACTCAACCATGTGCAGCACGCGCGGCGCGACGCTGCGCTATGTACGCGACGTATGTACGTACTGGCTAGCTATACTGGCTAGCTATACCAACAGTATATATCTAGCTACGCTATAATATCTAGTCTATACTAATAATCCCAATAAGTGTGTGGGTGTGTGTGTAGGTAATTTCCTAACGGTTTAATCAAGAAAACGGTTAGAGTTTTGGGACTGGTTTTTCCGGTATAGTACATTTCGACAAAACTCTGACGAAGCCAAAGTGCAATTTTTTTAAATCGGCCGGTGGTAAGTGGTTTAATTGATGATTTTGTACTGCAAATGTGATATTAAAGTGACTCACTTTTTGTCCCTATCTCACACCCTCTCTCCCCATTTCAGCTCCTCTAATTACTGCTTTGTTCATAATTAGGTTATTTTGGCAGTGAACCCTATTAAGTATTGCTATTGGATACGTAACTTTAGATTTGTTTGGAGAGGCGAATCATACACAGTTTAGGCTCTTGAAATCTTCGAATTAAAAATCATCTTTAGAGAACCTCCTGAATATAATTAAATTGGATACGTATTACGTGATGGGCACTAAGAATTAAATTTACTCTAATGCGGTCGGTTTCAACTGAGCGAGTTTATACTTTTGCACAATTTTAACTTTTGCACTGTTTATACTTTTGCAATCCAACTGCGATAGTGACGTCCCGGCCGTACGCACGAGTTACATTAGTAATATTATATAGGTAGTATAGCTAGATCAGATAGTTAAGCTAAACTATCTATATATTATAGTAGTAACGTTACCACAAATATCATAATACTATACCTTTAGTGTATACAACTGTTATGATAGCTTAGCTAGTAACCTCCCAGCTAGCTAGATATCTGCCGGGTTACTAAGGTTAATTTAATTATTTCTGCTATTGAAACTTTGAAATCCAATGGGAATGCTTTAGGATTTACCCTATCAATCCTTGCACCAACCTGATTCCAGGAGTGCTGAAGTCCCTATGATTTTACCGAACAGTTCCTATCAGGAGGATCTGAGATGGGTTTTTCTCTCTGATTAGACAGGAAGTGTTTATCCAAATTTTACCGGCTAGAGGATAAGCTCTCGGATCCTATAGGAATATCATATCTTATGGGATCTGAGAGCAATTCCAAGAAGCGATGGAATTTGGATTATCCTAACGGGAGTTGGGAACGATTACTTGTATTGGTCGATACTGCAAGCTGATGGGTAAATACTGTCATTTCCAATTAGCGTGTAGTGTGTACTCCTAGTCCAATCAGGAGACTGCTACTAACAATCAATAGAATCATAATTCTGTACCCCCCCCCCCCCCCCTTTCTCCCACGAACGTCTGCCCCTAGACTAATCAAATTTTCTCTGTCAGGTGTGTAATTGTGCTACTCACAAGAAGTTTAGTCAGGAGATACTGTTGTACCCCGGGCTCTCAGACTTCACAAACTGTGTGCTGGATGTACAGAGTGGCCCTGACTTTGATACTGGCTTTAATTTGGTGAGTGAGACGGTGTTTAATAAAATCATCTTTGAAATGTTTGAATTATTAGTTTTTGGTTTAACCATGACTCAAGATTGGCAATATTCGCTCCAGGATGCCAACTGCCTAATTGTCCATATTTATGGGTATAGTCAGTGTCCACGTGAATAATATTTCATATTGATAGCGATTTTTTTGGAACCGGCACTTTCAAGATATGTCTCTTATAATATGTTCTCAGTCATTTGACGACGGTAATCTTCAGAATACCTAACCTTTTTAAATTTAACAGGTAATTAGACAAATTAATTATTGACCGATAAAATGGGCAATTTTTATTTGTTGTTTATTTTTTCATTTTTTCTCTAGATATTTTGTTAGGTATGATCATTGATAAATTTTACAAATGGCTATAATGGTGAACTTCGATTGAATTACTGTCTGCACTTCAGGTTTCAGTGCCATAACTCAATAAGCAATACTTCAGGTTCAAGTTCCATAACTCGATAAACAGATACAATCTTAGATACTCTCACCATGAACATGGCCGGAACTCGTCTTGTTTTAAGCTGAAAAACGGCTCCTATATTAGAATAATCGGCCGAGGCATGTTAAATGTTTGTGGATCCACCTGTAAGCTTAATTCATGCTGCTGAAACTTGTGGAGATAACAGAAGCAGTAAATTAGATTATTCTTGGAAAAGTGTATTTAAGATCGCTAGTTTTTTACTGTTAGGTTTGGACGGTTGCTACTGCTAACTGCACTGTCACACCTTACACAGGTCATGATTACAGCGTGAAAGGAGGTAGCAGTTGCACTGCAAATTTGTACGTATTTTCCAAGTCATTCGTCTGTTCATGTGGAGTGTTAATTTGACTGTCATGAACCACGATATGTAACGTTTAACGCGTTGTTCACTGTAGACAGTGTTCGGTCAGTTTATTTAAGAATCGCACTCTGCAGTGTTGTTTTTTGTTTGCTCAACTTTCAAGCCTCCTTTGGTAGTTTTGATTTAAAATGGCATGATATGACTGGAAAATAATTTTAGATAAAAAAACTGTTTTTCTTTAGAAATGTCCTAATTGACTTGGACAAATTTAGATTATGCACTTGGTGAGTGTGATTGGTTACAACTGCGCTGGTCTGATTAGCGATATTGTATGACATTTTCTTTATCAGCTGTCAAAAACCGCAGTAATATGTACAAAGTGGTTTAAATTCCAAAATTTTATCAACATTAGGTTATAAATTATAAATTTTGACGTGTTGAACATCCTATTCTTTCCCGGATTGTCTTACATTTTCTCAATACCTAGAATGTTCCCAAGTACTTTTCCGGGTTCGCCGATTGATAAGTTTCCAAATCTGCTGCAAATTTTTCATCCCTGCCTTGCATTACACCTTTGCTTTTATTATTATCTCTTGCGAAATGATGACATTCCACCTAAGATGTTGTTTCCTGAGTTATTTTGTGGTTTTCTTCTCTGTAGAAAAAAATATGTCACCTTAGATCAAAACCAAACTACACAAATTAAGGCTTTGAGCCCCTCTCCCGCCCCTCTGCAACGTCTCTTCGACAAATAACTTGTCTCCTCAACTCTGTCATACAATTTTCTTGTCAGTGCATGGTGCCAAAGTTCATGACGTTACGTGTCTCCCATAATCAGAACCAATACAGTAGAAAATCAATTAAAGCGTGACACACTGTAAGTTACATGAGCCTTACTTACCGGTACTTATTTAATTTCACAACACGTGAAAGGTGTAGTGTTCACGGTTACACCAGAGTTTCCTTTCCAATTCTTACATTTAGATGAATTACCGAACAGTACCTGGTCTCATAAAGCTGCTTTTACAGTTTGGTAATTACAGTTACAACCATGAGGCGTCATTGATAACGTTATTTTTGGTGTAGGTCAATTTTCGCCTTATTGCCCGGAACAATTCGTAGAATACCTATCAAAGTACGCGTTTTTGTTTCTATTGCCTTAGATATTTTATCTTTTTTATGTTGATTAAATCTTGGTGAATTTTAGTTTTAACGGAGTTTCACCTCTAATTCATTATGTATGTGGATTGTGGGTTATTGCCAGGGTTTCAGTCATAACCACTAGTTTCATTGATGACGTTATTTACGGTACTGGTCATTTTTAACCTTATCATCCGAAAAAATTCTAATAACATTTTTTAAAGTACGGGTTTTTGCTCTTTTCCTGAATATTTTATCTCGTGTGATTAAATCTAGGGCAATTTAGGTTTATGGCATATCTTTCGAAGGTCTCTAATTGGGACTCCCTATCGTGCATGTAGATTGCGGCGTGGCCTGTGTGTAGATAACAGGTTTCCCCTCCAGTACTGTATTTATTAAGGATAATGACAATGCCTCGTCTCACTTCATGGCATCTGCAGATTGTTTCCTAGTTTAACGCAATAATTAATTAACATTAAAATTAATCATAAAACTCGTAAATGACATTTCCAGGAAAAATTCGTCGGATTTTAAGTACGCCATTTTTTATTGCAATGCCGCGGCCGTGCATATTTTATCTGCTTTTCTAATCAAATTTAGGTGAAGTTAGGGTGGCATATCTTCGAATGGCCTCCATATTTCCTGTGGCCTACATGTAGATAACGTTTCTAAGAACCGCGACCGGCTAATGGTTGAAGGTTTTATATACTCATTTAGAATTTTGAAAAGTCCTTCATTATCATATTATGGAGCAAGGGTGTGGACTGGTTACACTTATTGTATGTCACTTTATCTATTCTTTGGCCTTTTTCTCAGTAAATAAACTTTTTCACTGTTCAAACCAAACTTTAATAGTTGAAATGTTCGGTGTAATGTTTTTATTAGTTGTTTTTTGCCACAACCGAGCTGATCTCGATCGAAATTACAGTTGTTTTAAATATATATTTCGTAACTCTAAAAACAATTGATTGACACTGCACTTCACTTGTAGATATTGCCGGGTGAGGTAGCAAGTGCTAAGGACAACCCATCAGCTAAGCAAGACTTACTGTCAATACAAACTGAAACTGACAAACTCAAGAAAGATATGAAAGTATTGTACGAAGAAAAACTAGCTCAGTTCATCAAGACGGAAAAGAAGCTTCTTGATGCCGGTTTAAGACAGGTCGGTTATATTTCGCTGTACGAACACACTTCGAGTTATCCCAGTGCAGTACTAGTATATATAATGCAGTATGAACTAAATTAATTAGCTATATTTTGAGATGTGTGTATTCAGTGTAGCTACTACAGGTACTACGTGTACAGTTCAGTTATATTTCTGGCTTTTAGGGTAACTGCCAAGAGTAGGATCAAATAGTTAATTTTGACCCTCTTTAGTCTTGTACAGTTAACTGCGAAATACCATTCTATTCATATTGTTTTTTAGGCTGAAGAGGCAAGTATGAAGATAAAGAACTTGGTAAACTACTACCACGAGAAGAACCAGAACGAAGAACTAACGGATTCCTCCAATGGAGGAAACGAGACCCGGTCCAGGAAGCTGTCCGTGTCGGACAAGAAGGTCACCTTCTCAGTGTCTGATGATGTGGAGACAGCAGTAGAACCTGACTATCAGGATGATGAGGAGGTTAGTAATCCTTGTACTGTCACGTGACATGTCACAAGTAGAACGAAGTTGAAATTTTAGACACTGAACAACATAAAAAGTGAACACCGGCATCATTTTTTAGTTAATATATGTATAATTGGAATGTTTCCCAAAGCCTCAGGTTGTAAGTAGCTCTCTCTGCTAACTCTACTACACCCCTAGGAAGAACATCCAGGAAGGTCTCCTTCACAAGACGAATACTTCCAGTTTGACATGGGAGATGACGATCTGTTCGGAGGTCCACAAGAGGATGAGTTCAGTGGAGGATACCACTTTGGGCAGCATGATGACGACGAGGACAGCAGCTCCTCTGGATGTGAACCTGACATGGTTAGGGTCGAACATTTACCTTGTAAATACTAAATATGGCTGTGCAAATATAGCTTTATAGTTTGACCCGAAAATTGTATCAATGTTTAAAAAGCTAACGGTGACATCTTCCTTCAGATTCCTCAAGGAGCATCTGTGCCGATAAATGTTCCGTTGGGTTTCCACCGGGAGAGACAAAATAATAAGAGGATATCTTCAAGTGTAAAGGTAACATTTTTTTGAATATATTGGCCTAACATTGACTTTCAGGCCGCTATTCTATCATATTTTATATATATTAAATGCTTGTTGTTCGTCGAGTTTACATTCCTCAATCTATTTAACTCATATTTTCAAAAAACAATTGTTGTGTGAACTTGAGTTCACAAGTTTATCCCAGATGGAAGACATAGCCCATAGTATGAAGACCCTAATGGAAGAGTTTCACGGAGAAGATGATGACGTCCCCCGCCCTCGGGTCATGTCACGCAGCTACAATCCATCTCGTTTCAGATCATGACCTCAATGCCACGTGACAGACTCAGCAGTTTGCACGTGACTCCCAACGTGCCTTGTGCGCGTGACAATGAACATTGACAAGTGATTACTGACTCACTGAATTATTACAGAAACAGAAGAAAAAAAGGTTTAAGCAGTTTAAGAATTTTAACTATATTCGTAGATCCTCTTATATCTATAAGGACTATTGAGGATTGCGGTGACTGAAAAGTTATCAAAGACGCTGTATTGTGCTGGTGTTATATTAATGATTTTCTCTTTAGCTCTAGCTAGATTTAAGATTTGTGATCCTTTCTTGGGTGTGGAAATTCGAGAGTCTTCGGAACACACCCACTGCTAATCAATTGTTTCCTCTTCATCATTATTAATTTAAACGTTTGATTTTAATAGCATTTCTGCCTGTTCTTTTGGGAGAAGTTTTGCCCCGCTTTACAAAATCATGCTTGTTTTTGGTTGATTACAAAATTTTCTCTATTTTCTTCTTTACGGATAGTTTTAGTACAATTGTGCGCTTGTCACAGTTAATGAACGTAGTCCATTTATCACAGCTCTCGTTGCAGCGAGTTTTTATACGGTTTGAACGGTATGAACCATTAAAATAATTATATACGGTTTTGTTATGTTGTTATGTAGATAAACTGGTGCTTTAAAAGTGGTTATCGCAACGGCATCAGAAGTTCCGAACAATTAGTATATAATTAGCAGATACGAGCTGTTAATTAGTTTATAATTAGCAGATACGAGCTTGGGAAGCTGTCATCTTAGATATCCCATGTCATTTCTATTTGCTTTCATTCCGATGTAAAGCTTTAGAACGTATGATCAAGTATTAATTTACAAATCAGATTTTGAGTAAAATGTTAAAAGTTAAGTTATACCTTAGGAACGAGGAATGTTACTAATTGGAATTCTGAACCAATTAAATTGAGGCTGCCCCACATTGCGATCACTACCCGATGGTCTTTAATATCAAACTTATTTATTGAATATCGCAATTATTGGATAATTGTTCAATTTAGACATTTTTAATACTTTGACAATAAAAATTTTGAATCATATTTCTTGTTGTTCTTATCAGTCGATTTGCTAAAATATTGGGGGGGGGGGGGGGGGGGTGGGTGCTGATCATATTTAAGTATATTTAAGTATATCCCCGCCCTCAAATCGGAAAAAAACCTACATTTTAGAGTTTTTTTGGACTCCTACATTTATACACTTTAATGGTCAGCCCCGCCCCCCCCCCCCCCCCCCCCCCCCCCCCAATATTCATAAAAATGTTGTCGATAGATCCACTTCTTCCTCATATCTTATCGATAAAACAGTTGAAATTATCTATCTAACAATACATGCCAACGTTTAGAGACATGATGTTTTTAAAGACACTCGCAGTTTCAACTTCTGTTATCGGCACTATCGTGTATACACAATATGCAGCCTTTAGTAAAGATAAGGATAACAGAACACATCACCCCGGCAGAATGCACCCGACTAAGTTAGTTTTCTAGAAAATTCTTGGAATGTTGCAATTTTATCTAGAACCAAGTTATATGAATTCTTGATGCCCAATTGCAATTGAATTGGAATTGATTGGATGATGAGAATACGGGGTGGCCCAGAATTCACTGCCCTCACAAAACCCTTAAATAAATCACGTTGTTCTGCACTGGTCAGAATTGCACAAACCCTTCAGGGGTTACAGATAAGGGTGGAACTTAGATTCTCAGACAGTTTTGTAAAATTTTGTCCATCAAAGTGGGCCTGGCCATCGGTCGGATTAAACACGATTCACTCGAGATTTTGGCTCAAATTTAAAATAGCATAACCAACCCATATATCTTAACCCAGAAAATGTTTTACATAGAATATTTCGTAATCACTAAGGGAGATAGAGATTAGAGGGGTTTCTAAATGATTACGCTAGTATAAATTCAACGCAATAGCTATCTGTAAAACTGATTACGAATAGGGGATAGGGTTAAAATTGGCCAAAAAGTGATAACGTAATATGAGAGTATGAGAACGACCCCTGTTGTATTTACATGAGCTTTATAATAGCATTTCGTGTGGACAGTGAATATTTGGTCACCCTGTATGTTTTGGTACTTGACATCAATTTGTGAATATTATCTTTTGCCACCCATTAGTTACAACTTTACCAGTTCAATTAGCCATCAAATAATTTCAGGCTCTGGGATGATAATTGGGATTTCATGAAGCCCGACAAAGAAGCAATAAAAAACCTGTCCGATGAAGTAAGTTCTCACCTTCTTCACTTATTGCACTGTTTTCAGTAATTTGGTTTCTTATCTACACTTTGAAATATATGCTCCCTTCGGTAATTCAATGTGAGGAGGGACAAAAATCTCATACGTTTTTTTACGAGAAGTAACTTATCGTAACATAATTTAATCACAGTATGTTTAGATTTTACACAAATAGAGTTTCTAGAAAGTGTGTTCTGTTTTAGGAGAAGGTGGGGATGATCAGTAGTGCAGTACGTCATATTTACTTAGTACGACACGGACAGTACGAGATTGGGGAGACCGAGCCTCAGAAACGTATTCTAACTGGTATGTAATTAAAGAAATATGAGGCTGGGATGGTATGTTTATCGTCTGTATCATTTCTTTTTTTAACTTTTAAATCGCCGTAAATAGTTATGATTTACATTCAACTATATAAACAAATTGCATGATAACTTCGTCATTTAAAATCCGTTTTGCGTCATCTTTTCATAATTCATATCAAATTTCATATTTCATGTTCTATTACATTAATATGTTAAAATGGAGTTTATATCATGTTCATGTTGGGTGTGGCCTCCAAAAATCGAATTTTAACATTTTGGTGACGGAATCCTCGAACCAGTATAAGTTACAGTATACCATCTGCAATTCTGCAAAGTTACAGGTCTCAAATATAAAACAGGGCTACATTTCAAGACCCAATATGTGTACTGACTTTTAGCAAAATTATTGAAACAAGGATACAAAAATATAAATTTCGGATTACTATCTCCTCACCAGTCCCCTCCTGTTTACAGAGTTAGGAAGAAACCAGGCGGAGATAACAGGAGAGAGAATACAAGACCTGCTGGGAGAAAAGATAACACACTGTTACATCAGTACTTACCCTCGGGCTATGGAGACCGGACACATTATCTTGAAACATCTTGACAAAGGTTATTTATCCTGTTTTAGAACTCCTGACCTCATCTCTTAGAGTCTATAACAGTCGGTTTCAACTACTTTATATTGGTATCATGTACAATGTAGTAATAGTATTTGTACTGTTTACCAGTGACAAAGCAGCTCTATACTAACAATATCAATCTCCAGAGATACCAGTAGATTACTCGGAGTTAGTAAGAGAAGGAGCTCCCATAGCCCCCATACCAGCGCCCGAGCACTGGAAACCAGAACCTTGGGAGTTCCACAGGGACGGTGCTAGGATAGAGGCGGCCTTTAGAAGGTTAGTTTCGTCGGGAAGTTTCCTTGTTGTAGATTGTAGTGTGTCTGCGTGATAACTTAATTAAGTTATCTTGTTTGACTGCTGTTTTGTCTTCTTAAGAATTCCTCTTTTGTCAATATTTCTCTCCAACTTATTAAATCTGCCACTTAATCAGTAAATCGATAACGGTTATAAGGTTTCGAACTTTAAAACAATTTTGGGTACTGTAAGAGTTTTAAATATTCTGTCAAATTTGATTTAAACTATATATGAAACAGTGGCGCAACGTTGCCTGGTGGCAACTTAGGTTATTTAAGAGGATACGCCGCTAAAATCTCTAAAAAGTGTGTTTCTAGAGCAAAACGCACAGTTTTGCTAGTACCTCAGTTAAGTTTTTCAAATTTTAAATTACCCCACATTCAAAGGACGATTTGGCGCCCCCCTAAAATGGCGCTCGCACAGCAATAGTTTGAAATATTGAACACCATGATTCAAAAGTCGTGGTCTCCTGCGTCTAACCACCTCCTATTTCAGTTTCATCCACCGAGCTCACCCCAGCCAAAGTGAGGAAAGTCACGACATCGTGGTGTGCCACGGTAACGTGATCAGATACTTCGTGTGTCGTGCTCTCCAGAACGATCCCGAGGGTTGGTTACGGCTATCTCTTGCTAACTGCAGTATCACCCATCTTGTGGTTAAACCTAATGGCAATGTCACCCTTCGGGGACTGGGTGAAAAGGGACATTTGCCCTCTGATATGGTCACTTACAACTGAGAATTTTGTAGCAGTCCTTCGGGGTCATTCCAGAAATGTCAATATATTTGTTAATGTTTCATCTTCGATTTCAACCTAAAAATGGCAATTTGCAGTTGCTTGAAATTTATCAATCGTTGAAACAGCAAATTTATTTAATGAACTCCGCCCACTAGATCACTTCATGATGAATATCCACATTTCAGGGTAAACCCCGGGGAATATTTAATTTATTTATTAGTAATATCAAAAATAGTTTCGGTTTTTTAATCATTTTGAGGAAACCGTTTATACTTAACGAAATATTTCATGTTTTTATAATGTATTAATCTCTCACGTGCTTTGCCTAGTCACTAGTTGCTAGTGAAATTTTTGCATAGAAACAGCGTTATTTTTTTGGTCGTCTGAAATACATTTGTAGGTACTGACTCTTTAAATATGTTGAAAAGAAACAATTAATTTAAATTAAAAAATATATTTAATAAAATTTCTACTTTTAGCTTCGCCTATGTCTTAGTATCATGAACAAAATATACGTTGTGTAGAGTTTCTGAACATGTTTATATGTTTATTGTCTACATTCAAGTCTTCCGTTTTTGTTCTTTATGCACTGTAACTCTAAATTTCATGATTTTTTTGACAGTCAAACTCAAAGGTGTTACTGTGACTTACAGTGACTTAGCGACTACATTGAGGGATAAACAGGTACATAATGTTAAGCAAATATGTCCCGTTAATGTGTTTTATACTATATAATATCTTTTGCGAACTATAAATGCTCCCAAAGTGAACTTGTGTATCTCTTTAAGTTTAAGTTAAGTGTTAAGTCCATTGCTGGTATACTACGTGACTGAGTGTGACTTGTCATACGTTGTATGACCCGCCTGTATCGTAGAAACTCTTTGTATCACGTCGTGACCCCCACGGTCGTTTCACTATGGTGGAGTTTCTACGATACAGGGGGAGCCGCGTACTCCTGCGCGGCGGGTCATACAACATATGACAATTGCACTATTAATGCAGGCCCGGACCGCGCGCAGCCCGATTAAAGGTGTTCGTTAATTACATATTTATATGTTTTACTTGGAGCTCCGTGCAAACGAACTAAATTAAACTTAACGGGTAATACTCGTGCAATAATTGTTTCAAATACTGCGCGCGTCGATAAATTCAATTCAGAGTGCGTCTCATGATGAGCTTTAAACTTGGAAGACTTCGACGCACCACGTGCATGATCATGTTATAGTTAGCATTGAGAGTTGAACGTTGGACTCGTCGACGGTTTTGGATATATTAATTAGAATAACAAGTTGGAACAACTTTTTTACGAGTATCACTTGTAGCGCGATGCACTACTGGGACGCGCCGCGCATCCAATATAATGCTTCTCGCAACCACAAATCGGCAAGATGCGAAGGATTGACATCGTGAATCAAAAGTATCACCGGCCGTTAATGAAAACGGGTTGGCATAGACAATCGAGTTTGAATTTATAAACTTATAAAATCAAACCAGCCTGAAATGATCAACCGCATGTACTTTCATGATGCATGATGCAGCATGCACATCTACAGGGTTAAGTAAATTTAATTAAACGAATAAATATATAATTTATTTATGGCCAAAAGATTAACGGGTGATACTCGTAAAATATTTTGTATTTGTTCCATATATTACGTCGACGAGTCCAACTCGGCGCGCGTCCTGGTAGGTTATAAACCTATAACCAAAAGAGCTTTTTAATTTAACGGCGCTACAGTGTATTTGTAAATGTCGCCACACTAAACATTAAAATGCCGCTTACGTACTTGCTAATTGTAAAATTATTGTGCTAAATGTAAAATAATAACTCGATCAACCGATATTTTGTTTTGGGATACACTTAAGAAATATTTGTCATACGTTGTATGACCCGCCGCGCACGAGTGCGCGGCTCCCCCTGTATCGTAGAAACTCTACACTATAGTGAAGCGACAGTGGGGGTCACCACGTGATACAAAGAAATATTAAAGAGATTTACAAATTCTCCTTAGATTTTTTAAATGCGACCGTTTTATAATTACCATTAAATTTAACAGGTGATCAGTGATGCTCGTACAATATTTAATGCAAAATTGAAAGATAATAAAACTGTTAAAATATTATAAGATCGTGTGCCTAGTAGGTTGACATACGTTGCATGCCACTTTATCTGATATTTGGGATACGTAACATCAAACATGTATCAACTAGTTAGTAAGTAGTATAGGTTATAAATATACAACATTGAACATTAAATTTATTAATTTATTTATATAGATGTATGATCATGAATAATTTAAGTTTGATGATTATCATTACTAAATTATTTATATACATTGTTTGAACGACCTTTTTCTCAAATCAAATGAAATCAATCTCTTTACAAATAGTTTTGTTTTCTTCTGCTATATAGAAATATTGTTCTCCAAAGATTGTCTAATCCATGCTACTTCTATTCGATTATCGTTAAATCAATCGTCTTTAAATCGCAGTAGTTTTGTAAAACTATTGAACCGTCAAAGTTCTCATTCCCCAATGGAACTCAAAGGCGCTCAGACCAGTTCGAAATCAAAAGTTAGACCAATTTCCTGGTATTAAAAAGTGTGACACTTAATTTAAATGGCTTGAACAAGAAACACTACGAGGCATGGGTTGAGCGCTTAAAATATCTTTTACATACATGTATACAAATGTAGATATTGTGATCGAGATATCACCACAGCTTTTTTATGTGGTATCCGTTTCAAATACATATCTCTGACTGTTTTGGCAATTATGAATAATTGCGTTTGCCGTAATAATGAGTGCTGATCCGCAGTTTTGTATCCTTGAAAAGCAAAGTGTGCCTTTCTTTTAAAGATATAGATGCCAAGATACATGTGATTTGATAGAAAAGCTTTGATAAAGCCATGTATTTAGATTCCGGCACCCTGGAATTTTATCATCGATATTTTTGCATATATTTCTGGAACTTCAACAAATTTTTTGTTCGGGGATTGCTGGTCTGTTGATTGATGTTTCACTGTATGCACTAAACATCTAAAGGGATTTGGTATTCCATTCAACAAATGCAATGTGTCTTTCAGCAAACCACACTGTCAACACTGACATGCAATTTTAAAGGATATGTAATTTTGAAGGATGTGTATATTAAGGTCATGATCCATCAAAAGATTTGATTACTGAGATTCTATGTACACCTCTTTAGTTTTCTCATCAGCATCATCTAATTGCTTTTGGAAACTCATCATTGTGACCTGTTAAAGAGACAATTTGTAGATGTATCGTAGCAATATTTTCTTAATGTGTACTATTTTGATATAATGTGTGTGCTGAGTAGCAACTTGCTAAATAGTAAACTCAAATATTTTAATTTATGATCATATAAGGGTAACAAAACCTGTAATTGTATTAATCCTTAAAGCTAGAGTAGGATAACCATTCCAATGATCCCATCGATTGCACTCTTACAGATCACGACTTTAGGAGAATTGCATGATCATACCTGTATGTCTAATACTCAAAAAAGTAGTAAGTACAAAAGCAAAACTAACACGCTTTAGAAGTTTCCAATATTGCAGGGTCACAGCGTAAGACTGAATTCATTCGTTTGGTTTTTTTTGAGCAGTAGACCATAGAGACTTGATTAGGAGGTTGTTGCTCTAGAGTTGTTGTTGATGAAATCTGATACAAAATTTTGTTTATACATGGCATGATGTGAACTGATCTCCGGATCTCGTAAGGTAGTTTAATCATCACCAAGCTTGACACCGTCAAAAGCCTGCTTGCAATGATCCGAAGTCATAGTAGTTAGTGGACTGAATACTGCCCAAAAGTATGCCTAAATTTTTATGTTTTTGTCTGAAAAGGAAAGTGTCCCCGTTTTTTACTTTAAAAGGTTATAACACAGTACAGCTTTTGAGATGCGGTATTTGTGTAGAACAACAGGTGGACAAATTTTGTGCACAATTTCAGCTTGATATCATAAAGAAATAGCTGAGTCAGAGCCTCCCAATCAAACAAAACTGTGATTTCCGAAAATTAATTTTAAAACAGAAATTGGCCAACTACGGAAATAGATATTCTCAAAAAGGTTTGTTGGTATGGAAATGGTGTACAAGATGGATTTTGAACTTCCTGGGAAGTCATTTGGACTAGACGACACTAAACCCTGTTTTTGGTATATGTGTCCTTAACAACCAGTCACCTTCAGATAAGGCTATTGAGGCTACTGCAAAAATGTATGCAAATCATGAAAGACAAAAGAACCATGCCTAAAGAAAGGAATAATTCAAATGAAACCCATTTACAACTTCATGAATGGGAAGTGATCTTGATTTGTTGCTAAATTTGTGCATTTTATAATGCCTGTAAAGTATCAGTATGATATTTTATTTTTATTTTTTTAAAGATGTTCATTTTAAATTTAATCGGTTTAAGCATGATCATATTGTACATACTAAATCTAATTATAAATGAGATAAAGCTTTCTCAGCCTTAATCAATATCAAAAAAACACATAGTATAGTATATGGTTGTGTTATTTTGTATTAATTTGAAGTAGGACAAGTTATATGTTTGTTTGTAATTGATTTAATTTAATATCACCTCTCTCAAGCAATGATCTAGGATGTCCTCTTTCCTCTCCTTGCGTATAAAGATAGTCAAGAATGGGAACATCAAAACTATCCAGGTCAGTACACATAGTCCTTGATAATGAATGATTGATCTGTTCCTGCAAATGATTAAAATGTATCTTTTTACACATGAAATTTCAGTTAATTTTGTTCTTTGTATCTGAATTGAGAGTGTACTAGGATACACTTGCCAAAAGCCACTGCATGTTCTCGTTATATTATGTCCACTGTTAAGTTTTTCTTTCTTCTGTGTTGAATATTTTCATTAACCAAGGGGTAGTTAAGGTGTGAATATAGTTCTTTAAATCATCTTCATTCTAATTAGAATAGGAATTTATAGACTTGGCAATTGTTTTTGAACGTAGATTATGGGTGTTAATTGCTCCTTATTTTACAAAGAATTGTCTATGGCCATTTTAACACATGATACCAATAGCTTTAATGCTTGAATAGCTGCACACGCCGAGTTAAGATTGGTACATAATATACATAATATTATATAATACAGATTTTGTTGATCATAACTAAAAATTTATGTTTCTTAAAAACGAGATTCAAGTGTTACATTCCTCCGGAAGCCCTGAAAATAATTTAATTCCGACTTTTTATGTCGCTTTGATACATGATAACATTACAATGCACAAATAATGCACAGGTAGTGCAATGTAAAGGCACGTTTTTGTGTAGTGCTCAGAGCCTGCACGAGTCACGTGACACGTCTAACCCAATCCCAGCTGGCTGCTACAGCCTAACTAATTTATGTAAACCGGTGCAGGTGGAGAGTTTCGTTAAGTTAATTGAGGATGTCCTAGGTTCAGCCATGTGTGTGTCACGTCGTGGCTGTACAAGCAAGCAGATTGGCTGTCAGCTCGTCACGTGATATTGACACTGTCTGCTATTGGTCCTCTTCAGTGTATGTTCATTTTCACAGTGTGTCTCCAGTCCACACTACCTTAATTTATTTTTTAGAAAGCATATTATACAGCAAGAAGCAAACACATACACCGTGACACGCTGATCCGTAATAATAAGTACCGTCCGCGTCAATTATTTGGAGAGAGAGAGAGAAATAGTGCAGTAATCCTGCACAACTACCCCGACAAAAGATGCAGCTGTTAGCACATCAGTAGTGTAGTACATTATATGTTTGTCACACAGCCACGCCTGTACTTCAGCATAGCCGAGTAATTGTTTCCCCATCAACCAGTACCACGTGGGGTTTGTTGAGGGTTTTGTCTGTGACAGACAGCTGTCACGCCTGATAATCTGTTAAAATGACTGGCTGCCAGTATTGACTATCTCCGATTCTCCAGTCGGGTTATCAATCAGTTCCAGTTTAGTTCTCACTTCCTACTGGTCAGTAAGATCCTTCTCTCATATGTTACACTACACGAGCTTCATTATTATATTCCCTGCAAGAGCTGACACTCTGCTGGACAATGTACAGTTAGCAACTTGTTAAAGTTCTGTATATCATTATACAATATTATATTCGCATATTATATGTACGTGTATTTGATAGATTTCAACGATCTAGTATTCATAATATATAAGAATCATCCCTTTAAGAACCACCAAGAACTTACAAATACCGCTGGTTGCATTTTTAAATACTCTGTACACAAGAGTTACATTACGTAGATCTTAAATGTGAAGTCTACCTAATTTTCATGCTTACTGTAATCGGTTTTTTGGAGGAGCTGCGAAAAGCTCAGGCAGTCGTTAAAGTTCTTGCGTAACTCTCCAACCGAATCTACGCTGTGCATCACGTGACATAGCACCGACCAATCACAGCACAGTTGAAAGGTCACGTGACCTGGCTCGTGAAGGTCACGTGGGCTGGAGTGTACACTATCACTACTCCTTGCTGTCAACACTTACACACTGCTTACTGTCACACTCTATTTTTAGTGCTCAGCTTCTTCTCAGGATATGTCCTCGACACTCATCACTTGTTCACCTGTTACAGTGTTACAGGGAGATTTGTGACAATCATGCCACGTTAGATTCTACCACTGTAGATCTCGATATACACTGTTTACAGTGCACACACTACATCTCGACTCTAGTGTATATCAACACGTATGTGCCCACTATATTTCTATTGGATGTGATCCGTGTAAGTGTATAAGGTATTAATTATTGACTGACAGTCTATAAACATGTACACTGTTAATCGACAATTTGTCTTTTTTAATTCGATTTGTTGTTATTAAATTCATGTAGCTAGACAGTTCATAATATTATCAAAGAATTAATTGAAGATAATCTGTAACTGTAGAATACAAGCGGAAGTTATAATCGAATGTCCATCACATCGCAGATGTAGCTTCAGGATCCCTCATGATCTTGACGGCAGTAAGATCCTGTTGAATCCGTGATCCCTCTGCTGTCCCCCTGAAGAGTGAACAAGTACTAGTATAACATCGTGCTCATTCCAACTAAGTTAAGATTTTGGTGAGAGGATCCAACCTAGGTGTGCTCGTAGTGTCTTACAAACACGGCACTAGGGGTGAGGGGCTTCAGATGTTTCCAAGCAGTTTGGATGAGGTCCTCACATCCCTTCTGTCGTTTTCTGACAAAACTGCTTAAATACTACTCAAAATTCCGAGGTTTTCAATCACTTTTCGCACATTTGTGACAAATTGGCATTTTAAGCGGTTTCAAAAGGGGTTTTCTGAGGGCCAGCGATTGGTTCTAATGGTTTCTCATATCGTTTTCAGGGATAGTTCTTGACCCAAAATAGAAATCTGGGTTAAAGAAGTCAGAATTTCAAAAATGGTCTTAAAGCACATTTGTCAGAAAACGGCAGCCTTAACTTGTACACCAGTTTGAAATATTAGAACAGATATTATGAAACTTATAAAGCACTTGAGCTGCCGTGCGTATATAACTGATATATTTCATAATAATAATATATTTAACCAGTTTTTCTCTAACTCTCTTAAACTTTATTGATGTAAATTAGATATTAGCTTTAATGAAACCGGTTCCAACCTGCAGTTGCTTTTCATTATGGTAGGTTATAACATTGTTATAACAATGCGTTAAATTCTTCATCATCAGTATTCAGTACAGGCATAATTAAATACCGTAAATTCTTAATTCACAATATTGATACAAACCTCATCATTTTCTGGCAGTCATCACTATCTCACATAGCTGTAATATGATGTGCATTACATGTTTATTGCAAATTTCCAAGATAAAAGCAATTATGTAATTAGTTAATTGACATATGCCAATAAACGTGTAAACTGTTTGTGTGTGGCTGGTATAAATCATGATATACCGCGTTTTTATGTACATAAAGCTCCTCATTATAAATTTGTGACGACAACAGCACCTTGACTACACTTGTACTGTGAACTGTCATCATATTGTTTATTGCAGCTTGATACTAAATATGGTACTTTCAAAACCCTACATGATTTTTCTACTCAAGGTTAAGTTTTCCTCTTTAAACCTTCTTGATATAAGCGATGCATATATACAATAAATACAATATACATGGAATAATGCCATTCAGTAACTCCCTGGGGTCGAGGTCAGGTGAGATCAGTAGTAAATTAGATAGAGTAAATAAGATATCGGAGTTATTTGTGGAGTCGGAATGCAATCTTTCTGATTATTGAATCACTTATTTTACACATTGTTGTTGTTGTAAATCTACTGAGCGAATATAGCAGATAACTTTCCGAACTCTGAGAATTTATATCCAACATGAGATGGAACATTACCGGTATTAGCGCTGCAAGTCTGGGAACTCAATATCCGACATCTCGCTGTTAAACATATTATTGACTTAACGTTCTAGCGTCGGTTAGTTTGACGTTGTTCCTCATTACATCACCCCTCTCTATCATGACTTTACAAATGATGCTTAGCTGCTTATTTTGGCACCTCCCTCTGTTACTACTAAGTTTAGGTCTTCACTCTCCAACGTTGATGAGCGCAGGACTGTTTACCCACAGACAAAGACGAAGTTAATGGAAGGATGTTGTGAGCTAAAAATACTGTTACATTGAAGAATTACCGCTCAATCGTAAATAAGATGTGAGAATATCACCGCATGGCGCATATTGGTTTGAATACCATGGAACAGTTTAAATGATAATTTTTTCTTTTCATCTCTTGAAAATGTCCGTCGTGGATGATAATCGACCAGCGGAATAATGCCTTGGAACACTTGATATTTAAGAAAACTCCCATTAATAAGTCGAACATTCCAAACATCATTACATCAGTTTCCCTAAGCTCACAGTAAGCTTCAGTAAGGTCATTCCTGGTGATTAAAAGCATTACCATATACGGTCATGAGGAATACTTGAAAACGGGGAAATTATCACCGAATGTTGAATCCAGCATGTGGGTATATGTACGATTTCCACTACTGTATGTTTCTTTGTAACACAAATTCAAATAGCCATCTAGTGCTACACTAAAATGTTATAGTCCTACAAACTGATGACTCATTGTCAACACGACTGTATCAGATTCACACAACAATGTGGTCTGTTAACATCAGCATACTAATAATATCATGTGTCTTACCTCATCATCCTCTCTCGACGTGCTATGTTTATTTTAAACTGCAATAAAATCTTTCACACTATCTCTCTTAATATCGGGAGCTTATTACATTACATACTTACATACTCTCTCTCTTTCTCTCTTGAACATGCGCTTTATATTATTTGTAAGCTGTACTTCATTTCTGAGCATGTTATCCCTCAAGTACTTGACTGAGTACACGGTACTGTGTGGGGTGCGTGTGGAATGTGGTCAGTGTGTGTTATTGTTCAAGTTGTACCGGGAGCGTATTTTTACGTAAGTCCCATTATTATTTATTGTACATAGTAAAGGTAAGAACCCCTCTTGATCATAGTTTGTTACGCTATCTAGTGTAACACCCAGTATATTGATGATACCGTTACGCTATCTAGTGTTACACTCAATATATTGATAGTACCGTTACGCTATCTAGTGTAACACCCAATATATTGATAGTACCGTTACGCTATCTAGTGTAACACCCAGTATATTGATAGTACCGTTACGCTATCTAGTGTAACACCCAGTATATTGATAATACCGTAACGCTATCTAGTGTAACACCCAATATATTGATAATACCGTTACGCTATCTAGTGTAACACCCAGTATATTGATAGTACCGTTACGCTATCTAGTGTTACACTCAATATATTGATAGTACCGTTACGCTATCTGTGTTTACACTCAATATATTGATAGTACCGTTACGCTATCTAGTGTAAACCCAATATATTGATGATACCGTTACGCTATCTAGTGTAACACCCAATATATTGATGATACCGTTACGCTATCTAGTGTTACACTCAATATATTGATAGTACCGTTACGCTATCTAGTGTTACACTCAATATATTGATAGTACCGTTACGCTATCTAGTGTAACACCCAGTATATTGATGATACCGTTACGCTATCTAGTGTAACACCCAATATATTGATGATACCGTTACGCTATCTAGTGTAACACCCAGTATATTGATAATACCGTAACGCTATCTAGTGTAACACCCAGTATATTGATAATACCGTTACGCTATCTAGTGTAACACTCCAGTATATTGATGATACCGTTACGCTATCTAGTGTAACACCCAGTATATTGATGATACCGTTACGCTATCTAGTGTAACAAGCCATACGATAGGCCACACAATAGGCTCGTTACATTGTAACGAGGTTACACGGAGAAATCCTAAAAGTGCATCAAGACATTCGACACAGCTAAATAGTAAATAGGTGTTGTACATTAACTGTTTTTTATCTTTTCAGCCTCTGCCGTCGTACTATGGCGTGTTTCAGAAAGTGTGGCAGTTGTAATTTTAAAATTGTACCATCAGTGGTTTTAATTCTGAAGGATGTGTCTGGCGTTATTAGCGCCGTACGGACAGCTATTTTTATACATGTTCTTATGTAATTCGGAAATTACACTCGAAAATAACATCGAAGTAAAAATTCTACACTTTCGCATATACAATAAATATGTCTGGAATTTTTCCAAATGTTCTAGATGGTAGGGACACCCGAGGACAGTAATAACACTGAAGTATATACACTGAAGAATGTTCACCTAACAACAATATTGTGGGCACCTCATGTAATTCTATAATAGGGCGGAAGTTCCCAATGTTCAATGACCTCACATTCTTCTCTTATGATACTAACGGTATCTTTTCTTTAAATTGTGGAATCCAAGTTCCACTCTTCGCCTCATTCCGTTCTTCTTGAGTCTGGTATAAAATTAGCGCATAGAATGACTGGATTATTATTATGTACAATGTTAGCATAATATTTAAATAATCATGGGCGTGTTTCAGTTTAAGTACAACACGTTAGTCAGTGAAGCTTGCCAGATAATACGAGATCGAGAGCCAGGAGCTGATCAAGGAGACAGTAAGTCAATTATGTAATTGGTATTTAATGAGGTAATGACAGCACTTTGAAACTAATTAGATTCCTGGAGCAGATGGTGATGGTGTAGGGCTATTGTTTGAAACTTATAACGTAATTCACACTGACCGAGTTTTGTCGTTCTGTGAGGATGGATAAAGTTTCAATTTTTACGATCCTGTGTGTGTCTGAGGAATGTATGTGTGAGTGTAAAATGGAATGTATTTAACACCGCTGATTGACCAATGATATGTTTGTGTTTCAGTAACTGAGTATGGGCTGTTCAAACCAGACGAGGACGCCAAAAAGGGGACATGGCTAGATCCAAGACGTACATTGGAATATTACCTTTTTAGGGCAGGGGTAAGTGTTGAACGAAAATAGTTATGACATAGCTTCAGGATTAGATTTCAATCCCATTAAATTCTTAAATATTTCTTCCGCTATCATTTTACGGAGAGTTGGCACAGGAATTTAAAAACAGATGTTTTGCATACTCAATATTCTGCATACTAAATTTTTCAGAGTTATGCATTTCAAATCCGCGTAGCGGTGGCAAGTAGTCCCGGTTAGATCATATTAGGACCCTGGAACACTGGAAAAGCTCATTCGTCTAGTATCCAGCAAAGAATCGGCAAACTTTTCGCGCGCGAACGCGCGTTTCCACATTGTTGAACCCATTGACTTTGTAGCGTAAAGTCAAAAGTCTGCTATCCCTAGCATTCACCTCGACTTTCTGAAATTAATATTCGCGCGCATCATTAATTCTCCAATCTAAAAACAAATAAATTTGAATGTCTCCCACCTGTTGAGCTTCAGAACTTCATAAGGCTACTTCACTGCTCACATCTGAAAATTGCAGTAGAAAACAAGGCTCGGCTGTCAGAGGCAGTCAATAGCTAGTTCAATTTTAGAATATTCCGTCATACCCGTTGGCAACGGAGTGATTTAAGGTGAAGTTGGCGCCGATCCGTATTACTGCAAATCAACACCCTGGTAACGTAAGATGTGATTTAATGCACTGTACTTACACTTTATACTAACTACAGGATCAATTGGAGTACAGAAAGAAGATACGACCTCTGAGGGTCAAAATGTTGGACGATTCTATAAAGACAATATTAATAGACGACAGTCACAATGTTAAGGAAGTCATTAAAGCGATCTGTGAGAGGATTGGTATTAATAACCCTGACGAGTTTTCATTAGTGGTGGAGAACCTCCAAGCTGATGATGCAAAGAATGCAACGCTTCGTAAGGTAAAATTTTGCCAAATCATTGGATGACTTGCTTTCATGACATCATGATAATTAACAATAGTACTATGAAACATTACTAACTTTTAATAGTTAAGGGACGTTTAAAAGAAATTCAAGTTCTGCTACAAGTTTACATTCGTAAAAGCTAAATATCAACATCCACATAAAAACAGTGCGACATGCGTTATCTAACCAATATCGATATTGTAAGCAGACATGGTCTATTGGGATCTATTATATAGAATACTCTAAACTCAAACGGTTAATGATGATGATAATCGATGGTTATCAAAGCATTGGCTCTGTGCCAAGTTTACTTGCTGCGGTTTTAATAGTATTCTTTTAGGATAAAACAAGTGGATTACAAGAACGTGATCGCAAGAAAATGGAAACTCTACGTAAAAAGTTACACACAGACGATGATATATTGTGGCTTAATCATGAGAAAAGTTTGAGGGAACAAGGCATCCCTGACGATCAGATGCTTCTTTTGAGAAAGAAATTGTTCTTCTCTGATATTAATGTGGACAGAAACGATCCGGTTCAGCTAAATCTTATGTACATACAGGTAAAATCGTACCTTTAACAAGATGATTTCCTTGGATGAAACTTCCTTGATAGATACCAATTGAACGTGACAACTGACAAGAAACCAACTAATTAAATATGAAGTGTTCACTAAAAGTTTCACTTATCAGGATAACACATGCGTTCTGAACGGAACACACAAAGTCTCGCAAGAAGACGCCATCACATTGTCTGCTATCAGAGTACAGATCCAGTTCGGTAATCACGATGAGAACAAACACAAGAAAGGGTTCCTCGAGTTGAAGGACTTGCTACCAACTGAGTACCGTAAAATTCCCGGGATGGAGAAGAAAATATTTGCCGAACACAGGAAACTTATCGGTATGACGGAGCTAAACGGAAAACTGAGGTATATTAAGTACTGCAGAGAGTTGAAAACTTATGGTGTGACTTTCTTCCTCGTAAAAGAGAAGATGAAAGGTAATATTCATTTCAATATCGAATAAGAATATATTATATTACGTTCTAAATTACGGGAATAATAACCGATATATTGACATCTTCTTAGGATTTGAACTTGATAGCTTCAATTAATAAAACGTTTTGTCTCGTTGTTCAATGTTCATTCAACGTTTCTACTCCAACTTTTAAACAAGGCGATTTTATAGCTAATAACTAACTCGGCAGGTAAGAATAGGCTCGTACCCCGATTGTTGGGCATCACAAAGGAGAAGGTGATGAGAGTTGACGAGAAGACGAAGGAGGTCATACAGGAGTGGCAGTTAACCACCGTAAGACGATGGGCTGCTTCCCCAAACAGTTTTACTCTCGATTTCGGAGACTATTCCGAGAGTTACTACTCTGTTCAGACCCAGGTTTGTTTTGACTTAATGATTGAGAATTCTTTGTAATTCTGCTTTGAACAGCCTCTTTCGGGAGAGATTTTGATTTTCGGGAGAGATGTTGATTTTCTAACGTCCCTGTCCACAGGAAGGAGAAAAGATATCCCAGCTGATATCACAGTACATCGATTTGATCATGAAGAACAAGACTGGTGGAGACAGAAGACTAAGTGAAACTGATGAAGAAGCTACTGTTATTGAGGACCAAGTCAGACCAGGTATGTTTTATTATGAAGTGATTTCTCTGGGGGTTTAAGCGATTTTACTAAATTGTGGCTTTGTTGACGAATGCATGAAATCAGATATCACAGCATGCTAGATATCCAGATATGATAGATATAGGTTAAGCTGTGAGAGCGAGTACAATCGAAGACCGCTGAGCTAGTGTACAGAATTCTGGGGTTACTCCACCCTCAAACCTACAGGTAAAGCGATGACTCTGCAAAACATCGGAGGAGACAGGGAGATGATCGACCAAGACAACATAGCTATGTCGGGAATCCTGCGCCCAGGAGACCCTGGAAAGCGTGGTGTAGTCTCTGCTACTGACGCACCCGAACATCTCATACAGCACGGTGGTATCCACATAGCCCAATCCGCCCATATGGGTCAGCCTCCTGACATAACCTCAGCTGCAGGAAACCCACAGCAAGCTCACATCTCCAACATCATGCTTAGCATCGACGACATCGAGAAGGCCAAGAACGAGATGGCTTACCCCGCGGACTTGCCGCCACTTGGTGATAACATTGCAAGCAGGCAATGGAGAGAGATGATGTTTGACACTAGTAAACACAACATACACAGCAATTTGGTGGCAAGTTCCACTGCTGCCTGTGGTATTTACATCAACACTCCTCTCGCTAACGCAGACCCCAACTACCTTGCTATTGGTATGCATTTTCATTTTTTGCTTACTCATTTATGATCCTTCCATGACAAACTTCTTTGTCAATAGAATACTCATTTAGGGTCATCCAACTGCAACTGGATACTCGACGTATATTATCTACAATTAAATGGTGTTAAAGTTGTGTTCGAAAGTTAAATGACAAACTTCTCTACGCAGGAACGAACGTGTCCCAGCTTACAAGCAACATGACTGATGCGGCGAAGAATCTGAGAATGTTAATGACTCTGCAACCTGACGGCCCGGAGAAGGACAACCTCCTAGCAGCAGCTAATCGTCTAGCTGGCGCTACTCAGGACCTCCTGAACGCCGCTAAAGACGGACGTGCCAACCGCGCGGCTCAGCAAGCTGCTATCAACGCCATGGCAGATGCTCACAAGGCAGTGTTGGGATGTTTGGGAGATCCGGAAACTGAGTCTGACATGCAGATGAGGTTCCTGGACCAGGCCAGGCTTGTTGCCCAGGCTGTTGGAAAGCTTGTTAATGATTGTAAGGAGGTTGCCCGATCTTGCTCCGATCCTGAGATGCAAGGACAGGTAAATAATTAGACTGTTCAAATCTTTGTATCATTATTTTCAAGTTCCTTTAGAGTAAGTGAATATTATTGTTCTTATCTTTAACACCCATTGTACTAACTCGACCTAACTTTTCCAGGTTATCAACGCCAGTAAAGACGCTGCAGCCAGCAGTTCTCAACTGGTCACCTGTATCAAGCTGCTCGGACCCACTATGGCCAGTCCATTGTGCCAGCAGCAGCTTATGGAGGCTGCTAAGGTGAACCCAACCCACCAAATCATCATCCACCACCTAACTGCACTCAACTTACTTCTCAACATTCACTCAAAAACCAGCAGGGTCTGTCACACTCACACTCATACAGGATACATTTCTAGTAGACATTTATCTGACACTCCACACTAATTCCATCATAGTCATGTTTCAGAAGTGAACACTAAATCTGTAAATTGAGACAGGACGTCTGCAATTATCAAAATTTATCTGTCAAATTGTTTCAAAATGCTCTGAACTTTGGCTAAAGTCCGCAGTATACGAGTATAAATTTCCCAAAGGTTGAATGACATATTGGCAAAGTACACGCCACAATATACACAGGAAGGATAACATTCCATCATTTTAACGCGTCAGTAACTTGATTTAACACATTACGTATCTAACATGACAAATGTTGGCAGGGAGTAGCCTATGCTGTCGAAGGATTAGTGCACACAGCTCAGAACAGTTCCGATGACCAGGGAATACTGAACAACGTCAGCGCCAGTGCTGAGGAGGCCCAGAAAGCGCTGGATGAGCTCATCAGGTTCATCAAACAAACTCCGCTATCCACTCAACAAGATGGTAAGGCGCAGGAAGATTGTGAATCTATAATTGGTGGATGGCTTAGCGTTTTGTCCAAGAAATTGTTTTGAGTTCAAATTTAACCACACAAGACTGAAATAACCTATTTCAAATGTTAACTTTCTACTTTTCTAGGCCGGGAGTTGAGCGCAGAACAGATCCTAGATGCTAGTGACAAGATGTTCAACTCTATGGGAAACACTGCCGAGATGGTACAACAGGCCAAGATAATAGCCCGAGCCACCAGCTCCTTGGTACATGGTATCAAACTGGAGGCTGAATCTCAGAATGACAGTGAAAGTCAGACCAAGTTGCTGGCAGCTGCTAAACAGTTGGCTGATGCCACTGCTAGGATGGTTGAGGCTGCTAAAGCAGCAGCCATGAACCCCAACGATGAACATTGTCAACTTGCTCTGCAACAGGTCAATATTCGTTAGATAAATTTCCTTTTAAATCCACGCATTTGCAATATTTCTTCGTTACATCGAGCAGAATGTACAATGTACATTATACAATGTAAAATGTACATTATACAGCTACCAAAGGATTAAAATGTTTACTCTAAAAATGATTTCCATTCTCCATGTTAATTTTCATGAGCTAAATTAAATCTAAGATATAGCAAGGTGCAACAAGTTTTGGGACAATTTGTCTAGCCACAGATTACGGGTTGATGAAGGTACAATTAGTAGCCTTTTTGGTGCATGATCCTGTCTGGAAAAAAACTGATAAATCATACGTAACTCCTATATCAACTATTAACAAAACATTAAAACCACATCTAACTTTCAATTGTTTTGTAGACTACAGAAGATCTACGACAAGCAGCAAACAATGCCACATCTGAAAACATGAAGGCTAAACTGATGGCTAAACTACAAGACCACGCCAAGATCGCTACAGCCGCCAGCACGCAACTTCTTGCTGCCGCTAACGGAGCTGAGAGATGCAACGGTAAGATATACTTGTTTTTAGCAACGCTGTGAAATTTGATGTGGAAAATTTCGATCATTTTACTGAAAGGAGGATTGTTAAATGTTATGGGAACGTTTTCCTTTTAGGGAAAGCACATTCATGATGTACGATGCAATGTATCTGTACAATGTACTGATAATCAATGTAGTTGCGGCTGTAGCCACCTGTTCAATTTCTCCGTTAGGTCAAGCTCAGTATAGTAGCATAAATTCCCGGAATAAACCATCCAATATTTCACTCAAATTAATAAGAAAATATAATCTTAAAAATAAAATGTTTACTAAAATGGTGACCCTCATTCACGCTGATTGACCGTATTGTTAAAGCAATTCAGAAAGCCGTTCAATACCAGATATTAAATTCTCCGTGTAATCATTATATTCATCAGCGAATCTGCGATAAGCATCGGAAATCTCTGAACCTCCTATGTCTTTCACTGCACTATATATGTCCAAGATACCCATGACTATTCCAAAAGCAGCAAGTGCGCCAGACAATAGTTTAGCAGTTGTGGATCCAGCAGTTATTAGTGTTCGGAACCCAGGAGCAGCTACTTCGTCTGCAATGGAGCCGGCGGCAGCGCCCACGTTTTTTATACAACTGCACCCTGCAGAACTGGTGGCAGAACACGCCTTCTTTGAAAATTCGGCAAATTTCATAGAAGCGCGTACAGATTCTTCTAGATCTTTCCTTCCCGAACTATTACAAATGTGCTTCTTACCCCCCTAAAAGCGGACCCACTTTTAGAAGGAGCTCTTTGTTTGAGTTGTCTTAGCCGGTTGAAATTGTTCTGCACTTGCTGTAACAACTCAAAGATAACTCTTTCCTGACGCTCGAATCTTGTTAAAGCTGCCTGTATCTTCCTTATATCAGATCTGATGTTCCTGTCTTTAGCCAGATCAGCGATAATATTAGTACTCGCACCAGCAATCCCACCAGCGATGCCCCCAACTGTTAAACCAAGCGAAAGTCCAGCACTAAACGGGGCTAGGATGATCCCAGCTATAGCTGCTCCACCAGATATGATATTCACAGATCCGCCCACTGTTTTGGCGATCCCTGACCTCTTGACCCGCCGTTCAATACGTTCAGCGTGATCTCGACACAGAAGTGCAAAAATTGTCCTGTTCGAAAGATATTCCTCAAGATAGAACCCATAACGATCGTAGAAGGCAGCTTTATCGGCGATAAATTCAACTTGGGTGTACAGAATACGAAGCAGTTCATCTTCGGCAGCATCCATCTTTAGTAACTTTAGTCTAATCTTGGGGCTTTGTGTAATTCGAACGTAGCGAGGGCACCTTCACGGTGCGAGCTTTTACAGAATGAAAGCATAAAGCAAAAGGGACGAGAATGACAAATAAATACACAGCCTCAAAAGCAAAACCACCACTCCCTGAGCGATGATCTAATAGCATCATGAGATTGGCAGTATAGAGTATTATATTACCATAATATATATGATTACACACATGTTTATATATGCATGTAACCTTGTTCAATGTTACTTTAACAGATCATGAGATTTTACTCAACTTGCACTTTGCAGACAATCAGCAACGCCGTCACAAAGGAACACAACGCCAATAAATATCTAACAGTACAATGTACATATCTACTGTTGCATTGGAAATGCGTATATCTTTGATCACAGTTACTTCACTTTCATTCCAATCAAAATATAGTAGACCCTAATACTTTGTGCCCTTCTGGTAAGGTTTTTTTTTTACATATTTGATAGATTTACAGATCTGGCTTGACAAAAATTTTCAGAAAAAATCATGTTCGCGGGAAGCAAAAATCCGATGAGTTTTTTAGGGGGGAGGGGTAGGGGGTTGAGGGGGGTTGGGAAGGGTTGTCACATGACGAGAAATTTTTTGCAAAAATTAAACAATCTTTATTTGTTGATATTATTCACCCCTGTTGCCTAGAGTGGTGGGTCTGCACTTGAGAAGAGTGGGTCTGGCCGCTAGAATGGTGGGTCTGCAATCTAGAAGTGGGTCTGGCAACCAGAATGGTGGGTCTACAATCTAGAAGTGGGTCTGGCAACCAGAATGATGGGTCTGTACCCTTAAAGAGTGGTCTGACAACCAGAGTGGTGGGTGTGCACTTGAGAATAGTGGGTCTGGCAGCTAGAATGGTGGGTATGCAATCTAGAAGTGGGTCTGTTAACCAGAATTGTGGGTCAACACCCTTGAAGAGTGGGTCTGACAACCAGAATGGTGGGTCTGCATTTGAGAAGAGTGGTTCTTGCGGCTGGAATGGTGGGTCTGCAATCTAGAAGTTGGTCTAGCAACCAGAATTGTGGATCTGCATTCGAGAATAATGAGTCTTCACTCTAGAAGAGTGGGTCTGACAACCAGAATAGTGGGTCTGCACTTGAGAAGAGTGGGTCTGGCGGCTGGAATGGTGGGTCTGCAATCTAGAAGTTGGTCTAGCAACAGAATTTTGGATCTGCATTCGAGAATAATGAGTCTTCACTCTAGAAGTGTGGGTCCGGCAACCAGAGTGGTGGGTCTGCACTTGAGAAGCGTGGGTCTGGCCGCTAAATGGTGAGTCTGCACCCTTTAAGAGTGGGTCTGACAACCAGAGTGGTGGGTCTGGACTTGAGAAGAGTGGGTTTGGCAGCTGGAATGGTGGGTCTGCATTCTAGAAGTTGGTCTGGCAACCAGAATGGTGGCTGTACGTACACCCTTGAAGAGTGGGTCTGACAACCCGAGTGGTGGGTCTGGACTTGGGAAGAGTGGGTCTTGCAGCTGGAATGGTAGGTCTGCAATCTAGAAGTTGGTCTGGCAACCAGAATGGTGGCTGTACGTACACCCTTGAAGAGTGGGTCTGACAACCCGAGTGGTGGGTCTGGACTTGAGAAGAGTGGGTCTGGCAGCTGGAATGGTGGGTCTGCAATCTAGAAGTGGGTCCGGCAACCAGAATGGTGGGTGTACGTACACCCTTGAAGAGTGGGTCTGACAACCAGAGTGGTGGGTCTGCACCCTTGAAGAGTGGGTCTGACAACCAGGGTGGTGGGTCTACACTTGAGAAGAGTTGGTCTGGCAGCTAGAATGGTGGGTCTGCGATCTAAAAGTGGGTCTTGCAACCAGAATGGTGGGTTTGCATTCTTGAAGAGTGGGTCTGGCAACCAGGGTGGTGGGTCTACACTTGAGAAGAGTTGGTCTGGCAGCTAGAATGGTGGGTCTGCGATCTAAAAGTGGGTCTTGCAACCAGAATGGTGGGTTTGCATTCTTGAAGAGTGGGTCTGACAACCAGAGTGGTGGGTCTGCACTTGAGAAGAGTGGGTCTGGCAGCTAGAATGGTGGGTCTGCAATCTAGAAGTGGGTCTGGCAGTTAGAATGGTGGGTCTGCAATCTAGACGTGGGTCTGGCAACATGAATGGTGGGTCTGCACCCTTCAGGCTTAAAGAGTGGGTCTGACAACCAGAGTGGTAGATCTGCACTTGAGAAGTGTGGGTCTGGCAGCTGGAATGGTGGGTCTGCAATCTAGAAGTTGGTCTGGCAACCAGAATGGTGGGTCTGCACCCTTCAGGCTTCAAGAGTGGGTCTGACAACCAGAGTGGTGGGTCTGCACTTGAGAAGAGTGGGTCTGGCAGCTAGAATGTTGGGTCTGCAATCTATAAGTGGGTCTGGCAACCAGAACGGTGGGTCTGCAGTCTGCACCCTTAAAGAGTGGGTCTGACAACCAGAGTGGTAGATCTGCACTTGAGAAGAGTGGGTCTGGCAGCTGGAATGGTGGGTCTGCAATCTAGAAGTTGGTCTGGCAGCCAGAATGGTGGGTGTACGTACACCCTTGAAGAGTGGGTCTGACAACCCGATGGTGGGTCTGGACTTGAGAAGAGTGGGTCTTGCAGCTGGAATGGTAGGTCTGCAATCTAGAAGTTGGTCTGGCAACCAGAATGGTGGGTGTACGTACACCCTTGAAGAGTGGGTCTGACAACCAGAGTGGTGGGTCTGGACTTGAGAAGAGTGGGTCTGGCAGCTGGAATGGCCATGGTGGGTCTGCAATCTAGAAGTTGGTCTGGCAACCAGAATGGTGGGTGTACGTACACCCTTGAAGAGTTAGTCTGACAACCCGAGTGGTGGGTCTACACTTGAGAAGAGTTGGTCTGGCGGCTAGAATGGTAGGTCTGCGATCTAAAAGTGGGTCTTGCAGCCAGAATGGTGGATCTGCACTTGAGAAGAGTGGGTCTGCAGTCTGCACCCTTAAAGAGTGGGTCTGACAACCAGAGTGGTAGATCTGCACTTGAGAAGAGTGGGTCTGGCAGCTGGAATGGTGGGTCTGCAATCTATAAGTGAGTCTGGCAGCTAGAATTTAGTGGGTCTGAAATCTAGAAGTGGGTCTTGCAACATGAATGTGGGTCTGCACCCTTGAAGAGTGGGTCTGGCAATCAGAATGGTACGTCTACACTCTAGAAGAGTGGGTCTGGCAACCAGAATGGTGGATTTTCGCCCTAGAAGGGTGAGTCTGGAAACCAGAAAGGTGGGTCTACAATCTGGAATAGTGGGTCTGGCAACCAGAATTGCGGGTCTGCATTCTAGAATAGTGGATCTTCACTCTAGAAGAGTGGGCCTGGCAACCAGAATGGTAAGTCTACACTCTGTCAACCAGATTTGGGGGTTTATAAACTAGAATAAAGGAGATATGGCTACCAGAATTGTGGGTTTGGACAACCCGAATGGTGGGTCTTCACTCTAGAATAATAGGTCTGGTGGGTCTACACTTTAGAAGAGTGGGTCTGGCAACTAGATTGGTGTGCCTGCAATCTATAAGAGTGGGTCTGGCAACCAGAATAGTGGGTCTGCAATCAAGGGAATCAAGATGAGTGAGTCTGGCAATCAGAATGGTGGGTCTGCACCTTAGGGTAGTGGGTCTGGAAACAAGAATGATGGGTCAGAATTCTTGAATAGTGGGTCTTCACTCTAGCTAAGAGTGGGTCTGGCAACAAGAATGGTGGGTAAGAATTCTAG